ATGATGTTACAAAAAGCCTGCACTATTTAATGCTTTAATTTTTGCAACTTGACAGTGGACATGACTTATTAGAAGGCTGCCGAAAGATTATGGCCTTTAGATCACGTGTTTTTGATGAAGTAAAAAAGTTATCCAAATTAAAAATGCAATTTATCAAGATAGTTAGAAAAACTAGATTCTGCTGGATGGCAACTTTAACACTTCTGAGACCTTGTATTAATTACTTGAATTCGAAAACTGCTTTTCATAGAAGCACTGACTAAGTCAGATTCCTCCACGGAAATGTAAATTAAATGTTAATTATTTAGCAAATTCCGTCCCAATCTAAAATCACACTAAAATATCTGTCAAACTCAATTCAATTATGAATTTTTGAAACACTCAACAACAATATCTTAGTTGAGATACATGCTGTACTGGGGGATTGTAAAAGATTACACTTTCAGTGCATATTTGTGTACATGATATGGCAGATCACACTCTGTCAAATGATCAGGAAACCGTCGTTGAAGCCTTTTAAAGTACAGACATATCCAAGTAATTTTGCTGAACTGATCAAATTTCGTTTGACTGATCAAAAACAATATTGTTGATTTATTATTGATCCTTTTGATATAATTTTGCTATCATTTTATTAGTCTATCAGTGTAAGTAAATATTGAATTATACTGCAAACAATATCAATTGACGAGTTACACGATTCACCATCGCCTAGCTATCTTTTTTCGACATGAAGTCGGAACAATGTAACGCGATGGAAATATTTTAAGCGGGCATATCCTGTCCAAACCCAGGATACATGACATAAAAGATTCGTTTTCACTTTTTTTAGGATACAGTATAACGAAATTATTCAAACAATATATACATAATATAACAATAACCCTATATAAAATCTCTATATAGAGATTCGTTTTCACTTGTTTGCATTAAAAACATTAATAAAACATAAACATCTGTTATTGTAACTTGAACAACAGACTAGACAACAAAGCCTGCTGATTTCAACGGGTCTGAAAATTAACCAATTTTGTTTCCCTGTAATATCCCAAATAATCAAAAATAAACATTTTTAAGGTTAGCAGTTGTTTTTTCTTAAATAAAATACTACATTATCCTTGCACCTGAAAAAAATAAAAAACAATATTTAATATGAATTCTGGCACATTGCAACGAAAATCAATTTTTAATCCCAGTAAACCCTACCGGCTGGGGGTGTATCTCCAAAAGTAAAATAAATAGAACCTTCCGGTTTTCAACAAAATTTCCGTCTCTTAACTTTAAAGTTAGCTCCCCAGGAGCCAAATTTGGGACAACTTAGATTCTGAATTAAACCGAAAAGTTTGATTTTGGGCTAAATAAAATATCGTAGCTTTTAAACTTTGCAACGTAATGTCGTTGTCATGACTACCAGGCTAAATGCATCGTGCGAAAGCTGGTGAACTTGATGTGACGCGCGAGGACAAACGTGCTATTGAAAATCGATCACCTCTAGCGAGCCCGGCAGGTGGTAAAGTTTTTTGGGATGTGTATTGATTCACGATGTCAATCCTTCGCATCTCGCCGATATGCATACGGTGGTTGCGAGAAAATGCGCGGCGCGACCCAGTAGTGCATCGCGCTATAAGGATTGTATTGATTATGGATTTATCAGACTTTTAAAATAAATTATAAATATGACACGCTCGTTTCACAAATTTTTTGACATCGTTAATACTGAATCAAATTATAAAAATGTATATTATATAGTTAAATTAAACCTTCACATAGCCATGTGTCTACGCGTACTGCGTGACGCCCTTGTTTCACGGCGGTCGCGCGCTACTGCAAGCGAAAGGACTCTGGTTAGTAGAGCAAGATTAAACCAATTTGTAAAATCCAATCCACTTGCAGCGCAATGCGTTACTCTGCCGCGCCGCGCACTCATTTATGCTTCTCGCAACGATCACCTCGCTCATCGCTAAATCGGCAAAATGCGCGATTGTGCCTTGCCGATCTGCGATGAATTGACATCTGCATCGTCAATTAACCAATCCACAAACATTTTAAAATAATAGTATAGTGTAATAAATTCAAAATGAATTCCAGGCCAAACATTTTGTTGTATCACGTGGTGACCCCCACGGTCGCTTCACTATAGTCGCTTCACTATAGTAGCGTCTTCGACGCTACAGGGGGAGCCGCGCACTTCGTGCGCGGCGGGTCATACAACGTATGACAAACATTTTGTTTGTTGTTTTCTTGAAATTTGAAATTGTTGTTTTCTTGAGTTAATAATTTTAGTGCATCATGTTTTCTACGAACGCCGCGCGCCGAACATGGTTTACAATAAAAATTTATTGTATCAACGATTATATTCACGAGCCATATTTAAATACTACTCTTACTAATACCACTTATTAATTAACATAATATAATAACAGTTCATAATATTTTCTTGATTTAATCAAAACAATGCAATGGGTACTGTTCCTTTTTTAAATTTATTTGGAGTTTTTACTTAATCATGTGCTGCAAGCAAGCGCGAAAGGGCTTTTGTTGTATGAAACAAAATATTGCAGTTCATAAATTTGAATTATCATTCATGCCAAATGAAATGTCATTTACTTGTATTCTTTAAAAAAATTTGTATTCCTAATTTCCCACTATCAAATTAAACAAATCTGAAATACTATTTATATTTTTGACTGTTATTTTAATTCCTTGACAAAGTTTATCATTTAAATTAGTTGGACATTTACCAAACAATACCATTTTGTTTAGTTTGTCAATAAGATGATATATCATCTTATGATATATATTTTTTATATGTATTTTTTAATACTTTCAACACTACTATATAACAAATAATTTGAGATAACGATGTTTAATAAATGATGCAAAGAATTTCGAAGATCTAATCAACACCGACTTTTAATGTGTAGGAGTACAGCAACAAAATATATCTATATATCATTGCTAAGAGTTCTGAGTTAAGGTCAGACAAAATCTTCCAAAATCCCTTTTCATATTTTGATGATTTTATCAAAGCTTTCTTTGGGAATACAACTTTGAGTACCTCAATTGTGTCTTGTGTCATTCTCAGTGACCTTGTATACCTTGTGTACCACGCCCTTGACTGTAAACTAGGCGGATACGTTAGCATGCGCCACAACGCTATTAGAGATACTGCTGCTTTCTTCCTCCGAGAAGCAAAGTGTAAAGATGTAAGGATAGAACCAGCACTCCTGACAGTCCAACCAAGCTCCTTCTCAAGAAAGACCAACACCCAGGATGAAGCCCGTCTTGATGTTGCAGCTGTCGGATTGTATGCACCCTTTGAAAGAACATTCTTTGACATTAGGGTCACACATCCTAACTGTGACACAAACACATTTAAGACGCTAGATAAGATCTATAAAGATCACGAGAAAGAAAAGAAAGATTTGTATGAAGAGAGAGTACTTCAGTCAGAGAAAGGATCCTTTGTCCCTCTAGTCTTCACAACCTCTGGAGGTATGGGACCCCTATGCACTGTATTTGTAGATCGTGTCTCTGAGATGATAGCTGACCATAAAAAAGAAGCCAAGAGCCAAGTCAAAAATCATATCAGAACACGATTCAGATTTGATCTGTTAAGAAGTACACTCATTGCACTAAGAGGAATCAGAGGAAGATCAACGGCCCAGCATCTTGAACTGCATGACATCTCCTTCAACCTCATCCCCCAGAAGACGAGCTTTGAGGTCTCCTAGATTTGTTTATGTAAATTTTGATATTTTACTGTACTATTTTATGTTGTATATAATTTTACGGACGAAATGATCCCAGGGGGGACTCCCAACCCACCGCTTCGGCGGGTAGTTGACGCACCTTTCACAAGCAAGAGCCACTTTGGTCTACTTGCTGTGAGGTGTCTCAGCTACATGGGTTGGGGGTCCCCCCTTTTTTTTTTTTTTTTTTTTTTTTTTTTTTTTTTTTTTTTTTTCCTTGTATGGTGGTCATTCAAGAAAAGTTGAGTCAGTACAGTGAAATTTGGGTTGTGGGAAGCTGAAATTCGAGTATGTCCTACCGGTAGGACATATAGAACATTTTCATTGCATCAAATCTTTCTCCGGATATACTGCTTCCAGTACCTTGATGGTGATTTGTGTCACTCTCACTGATTGGTCACTAGTAAAAATTTCAGTCAAAACCGCGAAATTTCGGTCAAGGGGACAGCAGAAAGTTCCTGTTCAAAAATCTTCCAAAATCTCTTTTTAAAATATCCCGATGATTTTCCGTTTATCAAAGCTTTCTTTGGGAGTAAAACTTTGAGTACCTCGATCGTGTCTTGTGTCATCCTCAGTGACCTTACTAGATGGTCATTCAAGAAAAATTCAGTCAAAACAGTGAAATGTGCGTTGCAGAAAGCTGAATTTTGAAAATGTTTTAACGGTAGTCTGTGATTCAGGGTACCCTGCAGTTGACTGTAAACCATAGTACTAACTAAGTTAAATTTGTCTCTAACTGTAGAATAGGACTGTTAGGTCCTATCCGTCTATAACTGTTAGGACATGACTTTCTTCCTTATTAATAGGCTGATACCATTTACTGAACCTCCTTGTGGAGTAGGGGATTTCATATCAGCTGTTTGTTGTCAAGGTTGTGGCAGTTAGTATGAAACCCTGTTAGTATTTTTTCCAAATATTCACCAGCTGTGGTAATGTGAGTGGCGGTGTGGTCAGACCCACCTTAACAGCGTGTACTATTGATTAATGCAAGCGCGCTAGCTGCTAGCATACTTTTATCATTTACTTTGAAATCAAGTTTATTCAGATCTAGATATATATTAATTATTGATTGTGTATTGAATTGGTGAAAAATAAAAAAATTGTCTTTTCTCAAAAAATTGTCTTTTCTCTTCTCTCATATTTTCTCAAAAAATTGTCTTTTCTCTTCTCTCATATTGTGAGCGTCCAGTTTCACATAATAATATGCCTATCAGTTAAACAATAAACAGATGAACATTCAAATATTTTAGCTTTGATTAATGATTATTCTATACAATTAATATAGGATGTCAATAACTCCTCTGACCACGCTAACCAGTGCTCCAAGTAATGGACATCAGTCTTCCTTGGAGAACTTCAGGTATTAACCACAGTACTTTCACCAGTTACTAGATAAGTGATAACTATGTAACATCATCAATCATTTCATAACTATGGTAACATCTCGAGTTTCCTGATAACCTTGGTAACATTTAAAAATTATATGCAATAAATGCAGTGAACCCTTAGATGAAGTGTCAGGAATTGAAAAAACATACAATTTTAACAAAAATAAATAAATATTTCAGCAAAATATTTATAAAGTTTTGTTTTCCAGCGTGCGGCGCACCGAGTCTATTGATGCTCCTCAGATCATGAAGCTTATTGAACGAAGTACAGAAAAATGTTTCGGTAAAGTCAACGTAGTTAACATCATGTAAGTTCCTGTATATTATTTATGTTATTATATATTATTGTGTTTCTCAATTAACTCTGAAAGCATAATAGATATTTCTACTCCTTACCTCTGGTGGCAAAAAATCATAAACATGAAGCCATGCTATAAATTAGCTGAAAATTACTTTTAAACACTTAGATTATAAAATAAATTTAGCTTTAAATAATTTCAGAGAAAAAGCTGTCCTGTCAATAACACTGACCAGCTCTAACGGAGAAGTGCTTGGTTTTGGAGCTTTCTACGACTACCCAAACAGTAAATCCTACGATCCTAAACTATGGGAACACGATATGATCCCAAAGTACGGATTGGAGGGAGTCACTGTGAGTCAGCTGTAATATTTTAATCAATTTTACCAGTTCATTATTATATCTGTTTTGGCCCTATATTTGACTAAACTTGCTGAAGATTTAATCAAGGAAAGTTAGTTATCAACATTTAATTTCAGCCTCTCAACTCCCTGTTTCTGCATTACTTTGTGGCCAAGAGACCGTATCAGCACGACATCGCTCAAGAGATTATCAGAACAGTGTACAATGCTTGCGTTTATGTGCAGAGTATTTTCCTCCTTAGTGGCACATCACACCTGGGTGAGACTTTTACTTTATCACTTTCACTTTCACTTTCACTTTCACTTTCACTTTCACTTTGCTCAAACGATTATCGAGACGGTGTACGAGGTATAAATTATCTGTCTAGGTGTGCATTTTCTCCGTAGTGTCATGTCACAGATCATGTTTTTCGTCAGCAGTTAAACAGGAATAAGCTCGAACTCTGTTGCTATGTAGATGTTTAGAGATTAAAAAAAAAAACAAATTCGTATTTGGTAGTATTTAGTAATCCAAACTTGGGTTCACAATCGTATATACTGTGATATAGATCTCACAGAAATAATTTTGCCCGAACATTAACACGAATATTAACCGAGGCCTGAATATTAACTGAAGCCCGATATTAACCGTAGCTGAATCTGATCGTCTAAGCACCCTCAAAAAAGCTGATATCACAATCGTAATCGAACAACTCACAGTCCACACTGTACATCTCCTGGTATAACTCCAACAACCCCCTGTCCAGCAGTGAGAAGTATTGTCTCCAGATCTCCTCTCCTGTTCTACCTTGCAAAGTTGGGTTCCTGTCACCTGACCACCCCTTCTCCTTCAGCTCTGTTCTCTTCATGATATACATGTTATCTCTGTGCAGTGTTTCAAACCTTACTATCATGTTGTAGTTCATGGCACATGGAGCACAGTATTTCTCGTATGAAGCCCAGTGGTCATCGTTTATTCTATCCAACAAACGAGCTTTTGAGAACTCCACAAATGTTGGACCCAGTGGATTATTAAATGGGTTGGTAGGATCGGGAGCTCCGTGAGTTCTGATGACCTTATCTGAAGCTGCTGCTAGAAGTTCTCTGTTTGGTTCTTGATGAGGAGGGATTTGTCTGTATTTCAGTTTAGCGAAGCTCCCTATTTTGTCGTAGAACTGTATTTTATCAGCGTGTTCTACTTTGTCTCTGTACGCGCTCACTAGTCTCTCGTACGGGTGGCGTACTGTCATGAAGTTTATCAGGTTGTTGTTCTTCACTGGGTACGGGTTCGTTGAAAACTTTAGTAATTGGTTGTGTAGACAGGTTTCAAATAGACCTTTCTTTTTAATACCTCCACATTTTCTGAGGGGTTTGTGAAGTTAGTTTCACTTTCACTTTATCTATATTATATTTTATAGCTCACACGTTTATCAAGTGGATACTATACAGACTTATAAGACTCATAAAACAGATTTCATGAAGATGTTTGTTAACCCAGAGTTGTCTTCATTGCAATATATATTAAAATACTAACATTGTATCAATGTGTAGGAGTCTAGCAAGATAATCCTTCCAGTTACTACTCCCAGCCTTAAACACTGGACACCAACCTGACAGATAACATGTCACGTGATAAGTAACATTTTAAGTAACGTGATAAATGAATCACAAACTTCGTGAGATAAAAAGTTCAGCGATGTTATTAAGAGAAATTGAACGCTCAATTGAGACCTATCACGCAATGGAAATCTTATGGACAAAGCTATTTCCTCACCTAATCGGAGTTCCGGAAAATTTCTGAATTGTGTTGGATGTTTTTTTACCTTCAGTCCACCTTCAGAAAGTTCCTTACATTTCCTCAACACAGAATCAGTTCTTTTCTTCACTTCCTCCTCTACTGATAAAATGTTTCTTGTGTTAAGTTTCTCCCAATCTTCATCTCCATCCTTGTTTGAGGAAGATATGCTGCTTTCAGCAGAAGTGTTCGTTTGTCTCTCCAGTTTGTAAGTTTTAATAGTGGTCTTGGAGTCGTCTCTGTAGATGTAATACAACAGATAAACAAGAACTAAAAAAAGAGACCCAAAAGAAAATCTGCGGAACCAATCCATAACAAGAGACCAAGGCGAGTCTGTTACTAATCATGTGATAACACATGTTACTGCTCTTACATAAACACTGTTTAGTTAAGCAGCACATTTGCAGTAAACTCAGATTATCCGTGAATAATAACAAACTTTTATTGTCTGCACTGGACAGTGTTTGGTTTAATTTTAGTGTATGGTTGAAGTAGTTTAGATGTGAATTCCGGTGGGAGTTGAGGTATGTTTTTGTAACACGTGACAGCGATTAACCAATCAGCATCTACTATTGACTCAAGTCTCAGAATCACTGTCACATTTCAAAATAGATGCCTCAACCCCCACCAGTGCAGAATCTACATAGATAGCCACATCAGCAGCGATTAGAACGAAAAATATATATAAACTAGTGTAGCAATGTTGCAAATTGTTGCAAAAAAGCAAGCAATTTGGCCGACTGGCATCAGACTGGATTTGAACCTTCTGCATGGGAGGCGATCGTGTTACCATTACGCTATCTATTAGTCAGCTAATTAATAATCTAAATAGTTAATTAATACTCAATCCACTTCTCTTCAGGATCAGCACTGCTGGAGAACTTTGCGCGTGTGAAGAACGGACAGAAGGAAGAGAAATTGTTCTTATGTCAGCGTCATGGGCACGTGCCACAGCTGCACATCAGGGAAGCGCGCCCGGAGGATAATGACGATCTTGCGCCGCTCTTCACTCAGCAGAACAAAGTCCTAAGCGAGACTTACGGTGAGGATTCTTAGATAAACATAGTTAGTTCTACTGTTATAACTTAACTTAAATTAGACTATCATAGCTAGTTTAGCTGTTATTATTTCAAAGATACTTTAAAAGGTACTCTTATCTAAAGAATAATAATTGTAAATAACTTTAAAATGCACTCTCAAACACACTAACATTACAGGGGACTACTTCCTGGCGGAGCTGATAGAAGCACAGGACGAGAACCACAAGGCTCTTGTTGCTGAGGTGATGTGTTCTTATTTCTTTGAGCAAACACATAACAGCAGTTTGAACAAGGCGTACGGGTGTAAGGCTGTCAGAATGATGGTGTTTTTATAAAAGCCACAAAATCTTTAAAAACAGCTGTTTTAAACCAGAAACTTCACAAAACACCTAAAAACTAGGGAAAGTTTTCTTCCCGGGGTTTGGAATTGTTAAAATTTGCCAGTAAAAGGGGAAAAAATCGGCATGATATATACCCCTTTTTAGACTACGGCTGTCAGAATGAAGTTTTGTATTTTGAGGCCTACATTACACAAAAAAAACTTTTTGGTTTATTGGACTTGCAGGCAGTTAGGTAAATTATAAACCAATACCATATCACCTCTGTTGTCAACTAAATCACTATTCCTGGGGAATTATACAACATAGAAGGAAGACTGCAGCTGTCAGAATGAAGTTTTCCAAAACAAAGTTGTCCCCATTTTTCCATCATGGCTCTAGGAATCTTTTTAGACCCTCTATCATTATTATATTAACACATATCTGCAGCGTTATTCTACCCAAATCAAACATTCCGGGCATTTTGGTATAAGTCAATAATCGCAATTTAGAAAACCTTCATTCTGACAACCGTATTGAATAGTATACTTTTAAATTTTATATATTGGGCTGTGAGGTATTTCTAGGGGCTATGTTAGCTGTGTGTATGAACTAATTGACAAGTATGACCTTTTACACACTACAACTTTCCAATGCTGGCCCCCAATTACTGCACTAGGCCCCCAATTATATTTATTGCATGTTATTGTCAACTTCAACTTGAAGAACAATCCATGGTTACAAGCTCTCTCTCATAACTGCTTGAAGTTCAAGCAGTTATGAGAGAGAGCTTGTAACCATGGATTGTTCTGTTAGTGTTCAGTTAGTGTAGTTGCAATTCTTCCCAGCTTTGTTTGGATGTTTTACTGTTTGAAAAGTTGTGCAATGTGTTATAAATATACTGACTATCTACGGGTGTACGGCTGTCAGAATGATGCGGCTGTCAGAATGAAGTTTTTATCAAAGATCAAATTACTTTGTTAGAAACTTGATTTTGGGCATATTAAACAGGTTTGCATATACTAAAAACACAAATAAATACATTCTTTTATGTATCGGTTGTTTCTGATGTTTTTGATCAACTTTTTTGAATGCAGAATATCATGATTCTGACAGCCGCCATACCATCATTCTACCAGCCGTTTGAATTTTCTGTTTTAATTTGTTAACACATGTTTATTGAGGGTTTTTTAGGGTATGAATGCATTCTTTTAGAGTTGTTTGATACACCATACCAGTACCAGGTCTTATAGGGATAACTTTAACAACAAGATCACAAAACTGCCTCATATTTATGCAATGTCAAAATTTGAAAGTGTATTTCCAAATATTTCAATAATAAATCATTTTTAGCATTTCTTTCAGTGATGGAAGTGTTTATTTGTGTTTTTAGTATGTGCAAACCTGTTAAATATGCCCAAAATCAAGTTTCTAACAACGTAATTTGATCTTTGATAAAAACTTCATTCTGACAGCCGCATCATTCTGACAGCCTTACACCCGTATTGAAAAAAATGTGAATTGAAAGTGAACTCGAAAAATCTTTGTGGAACTTGTATCGTTCCCGATTTCATGGTTTACAGTCATTTTGATTTGTCAGAAATTTTACCGATTGTACGACGTACGTACGACGAAAATGCTGGGCATACAATTTTAACATTGTATTCTCATCAAGGTTGGTGGTCTGGCTATTGGGTTCATGTGCGTTTCAACTGAAGTTGATGTTGATCTGCTGAACAAGTGTTTCGAGCTAAAACCCTACACTTTCCTTCACAAAGTTAAGAAGAAAGAGGAAACCCCTGATGATAATACAAGCGTGGCGTCAGAAAGGTTTGTTTGTTTGTTCGTATGTAGCTGTGTTTGTATGTCTGTTTTTTTTGTCTGTTTGTTGTCTGTCTGTTTGTCAGTCTGTCTGTTTGTGATGTGCCATGTAAATGTAAGCCCCTTCTGTCGTTTATGCGTATTGAAACATTATCACAAAATGTTGATTAATTTTTTATTTTCAGTGTGGTTGAAGATGAAGTTGAAGATGAAGTTGACGAAGATTTGGCAAGAGAAGAAACTCTTGATATCGAGACATCCTCAGTTGGTAAGAAATTGAGACACAAACGTACATCATTTTATCAAAGTATAAGTCCGTTTTCTATCCTTACTGATGAACTTTGTCACTTGTCAGTATTGTAAAACGCTGGTTAATAGCCCTACCTTTACACATAGATTCTCAATTTTGATACCCCAGTTTCCTTAGATCGTAAAGTGCCATCACAAACATCACTTAAAAGTGGGCCAGCTGCAAAATCCTCTAAAGGAGAAGTATCTGCTGCAGACAGCAACAGAAGTGTTTCAATCCCTCCCTCTCATGTCTCAGAACCTCAATCAGAAACATCTGAAAAGCCCAAGGTACCGATGCAATCTTCACTCACTGTTTTGATCCAACAACTCAAAAGGGTCTACTTTGTCGATTTAACGTGACGCGCGGTAAAAATAACGTACAACTTTCCTACTGTGAGCTTTACATTTTTTGGGCGGTTGCCATGGAAATGTGAGCCGCGCTTGAATATCGTTCGTCCAATTTAACCCTATTTAATTCCTTGCCTTTTCTTAATTTAAACTAAGAAGTAAGAATATAACACAAAATTAATGATTTATTTTGTGTAGGACACAGAGGAGGTAGCAGAAGCAGTTGAGGAAGTGATTGTTTCTGCTGAACCTATAGATTTTGGGGAACCTACCGCGTTTTGCATCCAACTTTTCTGCATTGATGAACGATATGAAATGCGGAGCATTGATTTTATGACAGAGGCCTTCAAAAGATTCCCGGTAAGACGAATTTTTTCACCTTTTCCCGATATCATCTGTGAACTCTTGATTTGTGGCCGTTACAATTTGTTGGCCATATCTGTTTTACCAATACCATTCTTATCGTTACCAAATATTTCTTTCAGGACAAAGATTACTGCGTGCTGACAATCCCCCACACAATATCTGAGTTCCCGCTACTCCAAGTATTTGCAAGGTAATTATTAAACAAAAGCCGATTAGCGGTCTTCAAAAGTAAAAAGCTTTCTATTCTATAGAGTCTGTTTGTAGACTCAGTTAAAGCTTCAAGACGATTTTACATTGACGGAATATTATAGAGATCTCTTTAAATAGGTTTTCTCGTGATTAAAAACGTTGGTCAAATTTCAGGTGTACACCCAAACCCACATCAACCTTAGAACAAGAGTTGTACGTGTTCCACAGATCTGCTCTGTTACAGAATATTACAGTTAGGTTCGGTACTGAACAGGATACCACTGGAATCAGTTACATAACCCGCAAATACAAAGGTTAGACAAATAATTGTACTGGTATATTTTAATCTTTAGAAAACTGTAGGGGCATTTTAAAACATTATCATTTGATGAATTTCTTCAGACACTTATATAGTCAGAGATAATTGTACCTACTTTTTAATATGATTTCAAGTGATAGTTGTTGAATTAGGTTTAGTCAAGACTTGCTTTAGAAGTATTGAGTTACTAATTTTAACTGTTAAAATTTGACAGGAAAGAGTACAGTGCTAGCAGATTATAATCAGTATTTGAGTGCAATGAGAGACGAGGATGGAACTCCACTTTATGGAATTGTAATGGAATGTGGGAAACAGATCATTGGAGTTGCTATTATGAGGGCTGAAATGGTTGGTTTAATTTATCAGTATCATCAGTTATTTGTTGCGGCGCTTTCTCCTTATATTTATTTTTAGATGTGTAGAAGATTATTACCAGCTAGTTCTACCTTAGGATACGGAATATCTGAGGTCGCACTATGGACTGGAGGATTTCATCTACTTTACTCAACATTCCCCTCGAGAACATGGCCATCTCTACCACTGTGCTGTGTCTGCTACATTCACTAACTTTACCAAGTTCTTCCTCAGGTATTTTTGTGATTCTCTATAATTGAGTTCCTATAATTTGATAATTATCCGTGTTCAGAACTAAATATACAGGATGTATATATTTTTATCAGAAATTAATGGTTTCTTCAGTAATTTTCATATTCCTTAATTAAGTAAAACAACAATTTTAAGTTGAACAAAGATTTCATTTTATACCCACAATCAATACATAGTAGTTCCAAATATTCATATTCAATATTACCATTTCAATTGGTCTCTAAATGTTTGGTTCAAAGTTTGACCCTAATAGTAATACTTGTGTCACAGAGAGTGTTTACGACTGTGTGAGATGAGCTGTATGTATTACAACGTGTACGATAGTGCAACGTCACAAAGCAAGCCCCAGTCTACTGTGGAGGCTCTTCATCATCTAGTTCAGATCAGGTATGTTTAGAAAAGGGACAATTCATCATCTAGTTCAGATCAGGTATGTTCAGAAAAGGGACAATTTATCATCTAGTCCAGATCAGGTATGTTTAGAAAAGGGACAATTTATCATCTAGTCCAGATCAGGTTTGTTTAGATAAGGGAGACTTTATCAATTAGTTTAAATAAGGTTCTTCGGGGACGCCTGATCAAGCGGATGGTTATTGCCGATATCTGTGGTAAGGATATCAGGTTCGTAAGGGGGGTTGGGGGGTTGGGGGGAGGGGGGGAGGAGGCCGGCTTTCTCTTGTAGTTCAAATCAGACTTTTTAATGAAGTCACCCAATTTTATTTTTGAATTTATAATTTAATGATCAGACTTGCTGAGGTAAGGACCGTTATCTGCCATGTCGCTGGCTTTTTCACTCGCGCCGAAGTAGTCGCGCCGAGTAACGAGCAATAATTTGATAAATCTAACTGACCTGCTGAACAAGCTGGTTGTTTGCTGAAGACGAAAGCAGAGCCCCCCTCACAAACAACAGACTCGTCTCCAGTCTGTATGGAGTAGGCAACATCAGGGCAGGTCAGAGAGGCAGTTTCACCAGACTTCAGGGGTAGAGAAGCGGGAGGAGTTACTCTCATCATGAACCAGGGTAGTGTAGCACACTCTGGGGGTGAGAGCTTATTTTAGTGATATGCTAAAAGTAGGGAGACAACTAGAGAGAGGGGATACTCTCAGACAAGGGTAGTAAAATAAGTGGGGTATAGCGAGGGGGTAAAGAATAGCAGCTAGTTATATATAAATACCATTAGGAAGAAGTCTGTACTCCGCCAGGACCCACTCGGTCAGGACCACATCACCCCAGCTATCATAGAGCATGACAATAACTGCGTCTATCCCCGCCGTTTCTATTGTCTTGCTCCACGTGTACTCCGTACTATCACACTCTGTGATGTTAGTGTGTTCATCTCCGTTCACTGTGGCCAGAAATTCATCTGATCTCAGGTCCCAGGTCACTGTGCTTAGTATGGAGTCTGTTAGAATATCATAGTCGGAGCAATCTGTCGTGGTTTCTTTGTTGTTTAGATCGTCCCACTTCTTATACTCCAACTCCAGTCCGCTCTCATCTATAACCCCCTCGCTGATGTCGTACCTGAATATTGGTAACTTGAACTAACCAATCAGATAGCTCTATTTTGGTCCCGTGACTTAAACTAACCGATCAATGACTCAGACTTCAGAGGGACTTAATAATCTGGTCAATCAGAATTACTATTATTTAGTTTTCATACCAAATAGAAGCATCGGCGATATAGTTTCCTCCAGCATACAAAGCAACTATGATGTAGAAGCTGAGTGACTCTGTAGGTAGTGGATCCTGCAGTATAGTCATGCGGACGTTGATAAGGGTGGTTTTAGGGTTGAACTCCTGATGTACGGTAGAGGTGGCCGGGTCAAATCCTTCGTCATACTCCTCTAGTAGTGGGGCGGTGGTCCACTCTGAAGGGCAAAGAGTTATATTATCTAGGGAGTATGGTTTGAGGGGATGGAAAATGGTACGGTAAATCGGGATTTTAATGTTTAAGTCTCAGAATCAAATGGTTTTCTCTGCACAAAATCATAATTGCCAATCAAATTTATCTTTTGAAGGATCACGTGAGATCAATCTGAAATAGTAAACATTGTCTGGTGAAAATAGAGGAGGTACAGTAAGTCGCCAAACTGTAAGTCGGGGGTTTACAGTACCTGTGGAAGCTGCAGCTAGTGTAGCTACCAGCTGTGTTAGCAGCAGCAACATTTCACTCGGTAATATCGCTATCTATTTGGAGGGTTGTTAGGGTACAGTGAACACGTTAGACTAGTTTTAACTGCAATAGTTTGATTAACCGTGTAAAATAAACTCAACATTTATATCTCGAAAGTCAAAAATGCACAAACAAAAAGCAGGCATGCTGGATGATACTGCTCCGATGTAAGGGACTGACTAAATAACTAGAGCAATGCTAAGTACATATAAATACGCCCTTTTTAACAGTTCAAATCATCAGCTGAATTCTTAGCAGGAGGGGAGACGTGCTAGTGAGTTTTGCTATTGTTACCTCTAACATTAGCTCAACAAAACCGGGCTACTCCCAATACATATTTTTTATATGAAGTTACATCAAGCATCGTTGGTCATTGGTAGTCTCTGTCATTTGTTGGCAATAAACTGACTTAATTTTAAAGAGATCTGATAGGAGGTTACAGCTATTGTGGTGTCTGCAACTGTCTATTGGTTTACAGGCTCAGGTCCAAGTGTAGAGTCTTAGTTCATAGTCTAAAGATCTAGATACTGGTGCCCTGGTGGGGAGGTGATCTATAATCTATATGACACGTGACACTGACACGTGACACGTGACAAACGACACACACGTGACGACGATTCGGAGAAATTCGTGATTTAAATTATTCAAATTAAAATCCGGTTCATGATTTAAATTGCCTCAATGTTGTTATTTTTTATAAATCAATGAACCATAAATGGGGAGCCCAAGATTGTTTGACCCAGATCTATTGATAAAAGTGGAACATGAACAAAGACATTTAATGACAATCTATACACAAGTAATGGATCGGAATAATGATCTATTTCACACCAGACAGTCAAATTCAGAGTTCAGCTGAGAGCAGATGTTCTATGCGGCGAGGTGGTCAACCTTACAACAAATTGAAACTGTCACAGATCACTTTTAGCCTCAAACAAGTGAAATGTGATATGATATGACTGTGAGAGCGTCTCTTCATGACATTTGTAACAGGTCCTTTGTGGTTGGTGCCCCTGTGCGACAGCTCTAAAGCTCTAGTATGGTAATTGGTAACAGATGGTTTAGAAGCGGTTTAGGAATGTCGAGTACTAGTCCGTAGTTAACTGTTTACACGAGGGGACAACAGCAGTCAGAGCTGTCATTCAGTTCTATAAGGTAGGGGAAAGGACTCGAAAAAAGGTTGTAAGAGACATAATATCAAATATGATGGGTCCCAATTCGCATGGATCGTTGTCTCTTGTAAGCCCTCTTTGTTATAAGTCTTTCTTAAAATAAACACGGTGCAGGTATTGACTTCTAGTATAAGACTCTGGTGTTTCTAACAGACTCAGTCTCCTAAACGTCTAGAGAGTTGTGCTATTGTTATCATTAGCTCAACAAAACCGGGCTACTCCCAGTAAATATTGTTTGTATGAAGATCTATTTCAAGCTTCGTTGGTAATTACTCATTGGTATTTCCTGTCATTTGTTGGCAAAAAGGAAATACTAGCTAAGTGTCCAGGAGATCAGATAGGGCGTTGCTACTTTTATAGTATCGCGTCTGTTACTGTATACACAGACTGAGGTACAAGTTCGTATTCTTAGTTCATAAGCGGGGAACTGTTATTAATGAACTACAATTTGCACAAAACAAACACAACATTGCCATTTGACAATCTATACTGAAACGCAAGTATTTCATGAAGATTGGAAATATTTGGAATGATGATCTATTCGACACGGTAAAATTAAGGCTTCAGCTGAGAGTAGATGTTCTATGCGGTGATGCAAGTTCACCTTACAACAAATTTACGCTCTCACAGATCTAAATTTGTACACCAAACGTGACTCAAATGAGTGAAACAGTGATACGATATGATTGTAAGAGCATCTCTTCATGACATCTTCTGGCAGATCCTTAGTATCACTATGAGCTCTAGTAAAGTAACAGGTGGTTTAGAAGCAGTTTTAGAAACTCCCTAGTCCCTACCTAGAAGTCTGTAGTGACGACAACCTGTCAGGTAAGTGCCAGTTGTGACTCAGTCTGAAAACAACACCTCTGACGGTAATGGAGCGTGTACTGTCTCCTCTTATCTTATACTTGCTATCTTATATTGTCATCTTACATTTGTTATCATATATGTACATATTTTGTAATCTTATAGTTTTATAACCCTGTATTTTTCTTAGACCCCGGCGTCAGATCAAATACCCAGTAGAACTACTAAAAGGAAGTCCCCCTGCCACCTACGACAATGTTCCTATTGCTGGCGTTCTGAAAACTCTTCCTCCCTTTGCTCTCTTCCACATCAACAGGTCCAATACCGGATATTGCTCAGGACATGTTAATGAAGTATTGAATTTAACATATCATCAGATTTGTATCATAAAATAAGGAATATTCCAGTAGTTTCTGGGAGACTGATTCCCACTCTCTCAGGAAGCTAACTCTAGAGCCTAAGATGGTAATCAACAGCCGCATCGTAGTGGTGGGAGCATCAGATGTGTCGCTCAGTTTCTTAGAGACACTTATCCTGTGGTTTGTTATATTTTAGTACATGAATTATAGGGTTCAGTTAATAGCCATGATGGCTGGTCTTGAATGGAATTTACAGCCGAGAAATAATGTAAAATACTCGTTTCAATGTTAGTACGATTTGTTTTGGCATTAAGCAAGGTTCTCTTATATAGTTTGATTCACGTGACTTATAGAATACAAGCTCTGATTGGTCAATATTAAATGCTTATCTCCGCAGTCCCCACATGCACTTCAACAACTTGGTACTAATCTCCCCGGAGGGGTTGCCCCTCACCGCTCCCTCATCTCTCCCCTCCTCCCTCTCCTACCCTCCTGAGTACATGAACAAGATCAGCCTGGCTACTTCCTGCAACATTGTCAACGCTAAAATGACGGTACACACTGTGGCAACTATAGTAGCCGCTCCGTTTTCCAATACCAAATATGAGAGACAGTATTTTACTCATTTCTATGGTATAATATCTGATTTATGTGTACTGTTATAATGTAAACTTTGAACCATTATCTTTGAAGTGATGATCAAACTCCCTCTTAGAGTGTAAACCGGGCAGAGCAGTTTGTTGAAGTGGACAACGGACGGAAAGTCCAGTACGATTACCTGGTACTCTGCACTGGTAGTCAGTTCCAATGCTCCCTCCCTCAGGTAACGTGACTCGCTGATTGGCTAGTTTTATTCAGCTGACTGTTATTCTGCGGTTTTATTGGCTAGTTATGGAAATATGGAGATCGATCCCCTTTAAATTTCTGTTCATTATCTTGTTAGAATAAAGATTAAAATGGTCCTGTTATGTGCTATACAACAGGCTTTTAAGACTATTTTGTACAATCTCCAAATACTTATCAATATCAAAAAGTAAAAAAACATGTTTCTAATTCTGACAATATTGTCTCCCCAGGTCGAGGAAAAGAAACTGTCAGTAAGTTCCCCTGTCAGCCGAGACGTGTCCGCCGTTGCCAAAATACAACCGTTTGTGGTAAGTGTTACTTGTCCGCTGTTGCTGCAGGATACAACAGTCTGTTTAAAAACACGTGACTTTGATATCGATGACAATTTTTTTTGACATTTTCGTAAAAGTTCCCGTCTATATTTAATGTTAGTTGTAGGTTCATATATTTGATATCATATCCCAATTATTCATACATGAAAATTGAACAGTGCCGATAACAAACTAACACAGAGATGTTACAGCCGCCATCACAAGCTACTTCCCTGGACAGTATCTCCAAAGCAGAAGGAATAGCGGACTGGGTCAAATCACACCCAGGTAATGAGTCATGAGATAATACTTGTTATTTTATTAATATTTCAGTTTTTATCTTAGCTTTTTGATTTTCGATTTTTAAATTTCCATTTGACAAATTCCTAGGATTCAGTGTTCTAGTTGTCCTTTTACAACAATATCATATATGAATATATGAATATATGATAATTTAACGGATTCAACTCCTTTCGCACGTTTGTGCCCGATATCAGGATCTAGTCCTAATGATGTATCTCATGGCCCGGGCCAAGGATTACAGTATGAGGTGTCATGAGCCTATTTGCTTGATGTTGTCCCTGGCAGAGAGCTTATCTCGGTGATATTCACAATCACGTGACCCTGTTGAATCTAATCATGCTACAATTACATGCTGCATGAAATTATCACTATCACTCTATAATTGATATATGATACTACTATAAATCATAAAGCAATTAATTAACCACTTAATCTAATTAACCTAATCTTTAAATTGTTAGAGCTGTGTTATAAAGTGCGGTGTTATTTGATCAAACTTTATTAAAACTAGGGTTTACAGTTCTGTTTACTTCCTGTTGTAGCCATTTCTAACTATTCTTTTAGTTAATTAATCTAAAAAGTAAAAACAATTACACACAACAGAGAGTTGGAGTATTGTTTTAATTTTTGTTTCGCTTAAATATTAATTACAACTTAAAACTATTGCATTTAGGACCGAGTTTGTTTCGAAACCTTTTCTAGACTGTTTCAGTATGATTTTTACATATTCTAAGTTATTTTAACAGGGTAATAGAACCTGTGTTAATGAGTTATTTACCGATCATTATAAACATACAGAGGCAACGTTTAAGTGCAGTGGGTGCGGAATTAAATTTCTGACAATTAAACTTCAAGATGTTTCAATCTTGAATTATCAGGAATCTCATGCAACAATAACAACAACAACAACAATAACCTTATACGCTACGCTGGGTGCTGGCGAATTGTCCAGTTGCGGTGCCTAAGATGCCTTTTGTCTCCAAATTTGCCGCACATACCAATGTATTAGTGTTTAGGAAGGTTCGGAATCGTACTATTTACGAAATATTACCGAACCTTCATGTTACCTCTGTAAAGAGACAATATTCAGTAAATGTGATATTCCTTACCGTTTTACTTGCTTACTTCCTCATAGTAACATGGCCTGATAAAGATAGTTAAATGTGATCGTCGAGAATAAACACAGGGAAAACTTTAAACTACCACAGCTCGGCCTTTAACCCGCTATCTTTATCTGATTAACGGTAGTTTTAAATCATTGGTTTTCCTTGTTGTTGCAATTGGATGTGTTAGATGTGTAACGTTTTATAAGCCGTGTAAGGCACTGATAAGAGAACCTTAGAATAAGATAGCGTTCAAGATTGATTACTGATTTTACCATCTTTTAGTTTTAGTTTTATCCCTGAAAGCTGTTTGTTGCTATTTATTTAAATCTACCGGCGATTTTGATTATTGCATCAGAACCATTGGATATCCAAAACGTCAGAAAAATATTCTTCATTTGTTTTTGATTCTATTTGCCAGTTTATATGATCGTCATTTGTTTGAGATCTGATGTACTATTTTTACAGGCGAGAAATTTAATAAAATTAAATATAAATTTTGAATTCCCAATTACTAGAATTTTCTGTTAGATTTTAAGTTCGCTAGCATATCGTAAGAATTGCCACTTCACCGTAATATCCAGTATTCAATTAAGTCAAGATAACACGTATTGTGAATATGATGTGTAGCGTAGATAACACACGCTGTTATATTACACCCTAAATACCGTAAAACCCGATCTTCGGATCTGAGTTATGTTGTAACTTTGTATTTCGTCTCGCGGAAATTTCAAATTTCAATTTGACAATGAATCTGAAACCGTGTACAGCAGTGCAAATACAGGAACATGTCGCTCTTAAAGTTCAGGTAAATTTCATGTCTTATCTCATATTGCCGGACCGGAGGATTACAGTTAGGCCTGCACCGTGTACGCTAAGGTGATTGGCATTTTAGGCCCGGTGTAAAATTTAGAAATTTTCTAGGGTCGCTTATAAACCGTAAGACCTAGTAAACAGTTAAAGACTAAAATATCCAGAAATGCAGGCGTAATGATGAAACTTAAAAGTTCCATTCCGAATAAAGCTCAAAAAATGCTATACAATAGTTTAATTCAATCTCACCTGTATTACTGCGCTACTGTTTGGGGTACTAAATCTTTAAATTCTATTCAGTCTTTATTCTCTGCTCAAAAGAAAGCTATTCGCGCCACTGATTCAGAATATCATAACTATTTTTACGACAAAGAAAAACGTAAACTACCATCTCACACAAAATCCATCTTCAACAAAATAGGAATTTTAGCTCTTCCTAATCTCATTGCTAAAAGCTGTCTAACTTTGATGCACAAGGTTTATATGGGAGTAGCACCATCGAGTATCTGTAGTATATTTGAAAAATCACCGCTTAGACAAACGGAAAGGAGAAATCCAAAGTATTTTGAAATTAAGTTCAACAGATTACGGATCACCGATTATAGCATCTCTAACGTAGGACCACGATTATATAACAACACGATAAACGAAATAAACAAAATCCTTCCCTTCAACGTACCTAAGCTACAAGATAAGTTTATTAATTCATACAAGGACAACATTGTACGTTACTTACAGGACAAACAAAAACTTGACCTAGAAAACCTTTCGTGGACGGACAAGAACTTTGTCCTTTACAACTTTTAAACAAAATATTAGCAAAATATAACAGCTGTAAGAATCCTAAACGTTAGTGCAGTCAAATAAATGAACTGCGATAATGCATTTGACAGTCAGACACTGCAATTTATTCTGCAACTTATTTTTCAATTTTCACTGCCACACTTAGGCTTATCTTGCCTACACATTTTTTAAAAACGAAATTCCTTGCGCACCGCGTACTAAAACTAAAATTACTTGGATTTCTACCGCTTTGATAAATGACTACAAGAAGATGGGGAGTTAATATTGTTGATTTATATAATATAGATTATTTATTCTTTAGTGTAGATTAACTTTATTTTTATATATTTTACCAAGTGTGAAGGATCAACCATACGTTATTAATATTTTTGAAATATTTAACGATAAATTGATATAATAATAAATGATTGTAATATTTTTATTGAGGCACATGCCACCCCATCGCGGGTTTACTACTACTAACTTGGATTTTCACAATTATAATAATAGCTTGATTAGTAACATTGTTTTAGAAGCTGCACGTGGTGATGGGGTTAAAAGAAGATAAACAGAGTTTGATAAATAACCTGGAAACAGAACCAGTTGTCATGGAGAACTCCTTAGATACCCGTGTAACTTTGGAGGACTCTGACTATGATTTGGAAAGTGCTGCCAACGTCGGCACGCCTCCCTCTTTTCTAGACGACTCCTACAAAGTGGAAACGTTAGAAGAAGGTGGCAGGTTCGATAGGTTTGCTAAAGTAACCCTCTCCTGGGTGGACGTATCAGTGACTTCTAAAGTTGAGAGCACGAGGATCTGCTGTAAGCCTCCTCAACAAGACGAACCTGAGAGTGTCAGTATTCTGAAGGGAGTATCAGGTATAGTGGAACCAGGCCAGTTTATGGCTATCATGGGAGCCTCTGGAGCGGGTAAAACTACTCTCCTCAATACCCTGGCGTTCAGGAATGAATCTAAGCTGAAGTGTTCGGGGGCTATAAATGTTAACGGTAGGGAGATGGATCGAGAGGGGTTAAAGATGATCAGCGCGTACGTTCAACAAGATGACTATTTTATCGGAACTATGACTGTGAAGGAGGTGATGATGTTTCATGCTAATCTCAGGATGGATCGAGCAACACCAGGGTTCAGGAAGGAGGAGAAAGTGTACAAAGTGCTGTCCAAACTGGGGCTCCTGAAGGTACAGGACAGCTTAGTGGGGTACCCAGGAGGACTAGTGAGGGGTATATCTGGAGGGGAAAGGAAGAGGTTATCAGTAGCTACTGAACTACTTATGGATCCTCCACTCCTCTTCATCGACGAGCCCACCAGTGGTCTGGACTCCTTCATGGCTGAGAGTATTGTAACGCTGATGGGGAAACTTGCTAAAGCTGACCGTACCATCCTCTGCACAATCCACCAGCCGACCTCAGAGTTGTTCTCCTTGTTCGACAGAGTGTGCCTAGTTTCAGAGGGAGAGATAGCTTACATGGGGGAATCAGCAGCTGCTCTAAACTACTTCACCAGAGCTGGGTTGCCATGCCCTGCTAACTACAACCCAGCAGACCACTACATCTTCACTCTGGCTATCCGGCCTGGTAACGAGGAGATGTGTCGGGCTAGGTGTCAGAACCTCATAGCCTTCTACAAACGTTCTGATGATTACAAGAAGGTTTTAGAAACTATCGGGCAGTGTTTGGACGGGTTTAACAGAAAGGAACCCAACCCAGACCATATTAGGTCCTCTACGTTCCGGCAAGTGGCTGAGAATTTCAAGAGAAGTTTCCTGAACACAGTGAGGAACCCTGCTTACACTAGGACAAGGATAGTGCAGACTATTATAGTGGGACTGCTGTGTGGTCTTGCTTACTACGATACAAAGAACGATCAGACCGCAGCTCAGAACAAAAGTGGAGTTCTCTTCAACATAGTTGTCTACTTCACGTTTGGGAATGTGTTTATCCAAACCATGTCAATTCCTCTTGAGTTGCCTGTTGTGAAAAGGGAATACCAGAACGGAATGTACACCACTGTTCCGTATTTTCTCTCCAAGATCATAGCAGAGATTCCTTATTTACTGGGACTTCCTCTTATGCAGCTCGCTATCTGCTACTTCATGATAGGTACCCGATTCTACGTTATTTTATAATGTTTTGATTTTAATTTGAAATATTAGCTCAAATATAATCAACTTATTATTTACTTATAATTACTTTATCATAATCTGTAAATAGATTATTATTAAAATGGTTATTATTAACCATCATAACACTAATCAACACTAAATAATAACACTAATTCCCACAGGTCTGAAGAACTCTGCCTCTGCATTCTTTATAGCCGTGTTAGCAAGTATTGGAATCTCGTGGGCCTCGACAGGATTGGGCTGGTTCCTGTCTGCCTGGACTGGAGATGTGAGGATAGCAGGAGCTCTCACTGCCCCTATCATCATGCCCTTTTTCCTATTCGGAGGACTTTACCAATATGACGAGTCAACCCCCGTCTACTTTCTACCTGTCAAGTATACCTCCTGGATTAGATACGGGTTTGAAATGTTGATGATAAACGAGTTTGAAGGTATGGAGTTGGAATGTGATGCGGAGCCCTGTTTCTTTAAGAATGGAACAGATGTGTTGAACAGATACGGTATTGACGCCGGTTCACTGTGGTGGCCCAACATGGCTGCTTTGTGGATATTTGGGGCTGTGATGTGTGTGTTTGCGTGGGGCTGCCTTATGTGTCGGGTTAGACGCTAGTGGTGGGGTTTAGTGCTCACTCATTGTGGGGCTCACTAGCTCGTTAAATCAGTGGACATGCAAACTAGCTACTGAGCTTCTTTTAGATACTTTACAAACATGGAAACACAAAATACAAACTGTGAACCCTCTTATTCCACAAACTGAACTTTTGTTATAATCGAACCAGTATTCTTTGTTTTTATAAATTATTATACCATCATGGGTACCGTAATGGGTATTGGTTATGAATTTCTGGAACCAAAAATTGGCTTGATGATATTTTGGCAAATTTATAGCTTTCACTTTTGTTAGCCTTTACTTATTTAAAATCATGGTCATATTTAAATGACATTTATATTCATAACTGTATAACTATTCTTTTACAAAAAATAGTTTCATTTGTTTAGAAATTTCCTTTTCGCGTTTGTTTAAGGTCGCGGTTAAAAGGTTGGCAATCTGTTGAAGAAATCACATGATGCCTTTAGATGAACCTAAGATTTCACTCTGCAACTTATAGGACCTGTGAACTCTATAAAAATGAAACCATGCTATTGCTGATCTTTAAACAACATCATTCTAACAGCTTCATTTTATCAATTTCACTTCACCAATTTCACTTTACCAATTTCACTTTTAAAACTCTACATTATTCCAGGTCCAGTAACAGTCTACGGAACGTCTCTCACATCCTACACCACAATACAAGTCTTGTTAGAAGCAGGTATTCCAGATATCACCTCCGTCCAACCTCCTACAATTGTCTCCTGTTTTAACAACCCACAAGTCCTGGAGATCGTAGAGACTTCCATGACAGATGCAGGTTTCAACATTACCAATACCAAGTAGCAACTACGTTTGGTTTTTATCAACTTCTGTAGTACTTGCCAGAAGTTTTTGATGGACGGTATACTGTTTTTGTAAATTGCGGATAAGCATTTTTTTGGACCCAAATTATTAATAGGAATCGGATTAGACTTATGAGACTCGATAGCCAACCAGAGCGCTGTATTCAAGTCACGTGACTCCAACTTACCAGTAACCACTCACCACACAGGAGTGAAGATAATGCGGGACTACGTGTTGTCGGGATACAGCTGTGAGGAGGAGGGAGCTCTGTCAGGAATAGAGCTGACACCTACCCAGGGGGCTGTGGAGACAATCCCCTGCTCCTCGCTTATCACCCTACAGGATAAGATCATAGACAACGACACTTTCCAGGGTCAGTTCATCAGCTTGCTGATTTGAGTTAATTCATTTTAATTTAATAAGCACAATTTCGGTATATGAGTATGACGTAGAAATATTGATATTAGATTTATCTATCTGCCTTCAGTAGAACATTTTCATCACGGAGTCTTTCTTTTACTCGGTAATTCTATCACAAATAAGCTGATCACGTGATCTAAACCACGTGACCCCAGGTATAAACAACAGCTGTCTTGTGTTTGACGGGAGACTGGTTATTGACACGGACTGTCACACTAACGACCCTGTTATCTACGCCGCGGGCCCGCTCACTAAATACAAACGGGCCTTTTACTGCGACGAGTTCACTCACGATATCTACTGCTCTAAAGAAATAGGTTTGTTTTTTGTTGCATTCACTGTCTTTTAAAATTCACGATTTGTCTGTTTCTCTTAAGAGTGATTTAAAAATGTATTCTTTAACTTTAAACTGTCCAGGAGAGAGATTAGCAAGTATAATGTTGCCGATATTCGACCCCTCCTTTCCTCCTGTTGAAGAAGTGGAACAGTATGAACTCCCCAAATATGTCAGACCTAAACAAGTCTACGCCAAATTACCAGGTTTGCTACTCTGCTTCTCGGGATGAGTAGCCCACATATCAAACAAAGTTACATCTCAGCTGCTGAAAATAATAAATAAATAATCAATACTTCAAAATTTGGGCTCGATCATGAAATTTACAGCCGAGTCCCGGGAGTTGAAAACTGTAGAGCGGTTAACATTTTACTTTGACAGGAGGATACCACTACCTGAATATTAGTAAACCACAGCCACTGGTAGAGTTACAAACTGCCATGATGGACCCTAACTACGGTAGAGAGCTGATAACCGGGGATAAAGAGACTGGTTATTTCAGGTAAACTAGCATTGAGCGTAGGTTAATTCAGCTGAGTTTTAAGATTAATCCAGTGGAAATTTAATTGGTACAATAATAAAGAGAAAGTGAAATGGTTTGGCACCATTTTAAATTAATCCATGTAATTGTAAGTGTAGATTTATAACTTTTTACTGTACGGTATAATATATGTTTCAGACTACACTTGAACCAGTACCACACAGTAGAAACTATCACGTGTTTGTCTAAAACGGAGATAGAGATGGGCAACATCTGCCAACTCTATGGTTTACATCAGCAATACATGAACTCACTCGAGGAGCGGTTCGATGGGGGACTCATTACAGACTTCTTCGCGTACTTGAGGTAGGGCACTTAAATATTCATATACTTTAACAAGTTCACTATTTTCAGTTGATTCAGTAAAATTACTCTCCAGAATCCATCTTGGTAACTTAGATCATTGATTGGTTTAAATCCCTCAGAGAGCCGTGGAGTCTGATTCTGTACCACGACCGGTTCGCGGAGCTGAGAGAAGAGATAAAAGAGCTGCTGACCCAGCCCAACCAGCCGGGAGAGGAGTCTCTGAGCGAGAAAGTGTGTCAGCTTGTTGACGAGGATCTCGCCATTGAAGATAAAACTAAACTCGCTCTCTTTGCTGAGTACAACGACAGTCTGGCTAAACAATCCATTGAGAACAGGTAACTTTTCTAATTAATTCTACCCGTCGGCCATATCTATTATCTAATGTACGTGGTGAACATTTGTAGAATCTGGTCAGAATTCCAATAAAGTCACGTGACATTTGAATTCCAATAAATTCACGTGAGATTTTAATTACGATTTAAAGTCACGTGATATTTCTCTCAGATTGTTTTCCTACCTGTCTTACAACAAGTACCACCTCCCACACTACGCTGGGCGGAATATGGCATGAACTTTACCTACTGTGGGCTGGAAAGTCAACCATTGATAACAGGCATGTCAAGGACTGGGCATTTTTATTTCATAGCGAATTTGTGTCTTTCAACTGATATTCCAAAAGGATGGAGACATGCTTTTTTCTTTACCATCGTGTTTTCAAAATCTACTTTTGCCTTTTTCAGAGATGTTCTGTCAATTGATAGACTATAAGCCTCAAGAACATATTTTATTCTTTTGAAAACTGCAGAGCATGATTTAGTATATTATGTCAACAGATGTTTTATAAATGTAAATTATTTGTAAATCAACCAGAAATTGTATTGAATCTTATTTTGAACCGATCATATCATTTTTACAGTTTATTTTGACATCAATACTCTTAGCAACATACACTCTTGAATTGGACATCATTCAAATAAAAATTAAACATTGGTGTTCTGTAAATATGAAGCAATAACCTTCATTTTCTTAACCCTTCTGTTATGTAGAGACAATTATATATTAAAATAAAAGGCCATTGCCCATCACGAATACTAATAGGAAATATAATTATTTCCGGGTCCGGGGTCGTGCTAATTTCTTGATTCTTCTAAGTTCATGAAATAAAATAGAATATAAACTTTTATTACAGTACTAATACTATTAAATCTTGCGTTAAGAAATTGGAAAAGACTTTCGTATCCACTCTCCAGGGAAAGAAACGTGAATAGGGAGATTGAGCAGTTCTGCTAATTTAAAGCATATGTGCTAGGAGTCATAATTATAATAATCTTATTGAAATTTCATAGCTTAAAATTAAATCCAATTTTACGCCAAGGAAATGGAAATTTCTGGGACAAAATTACATCTCCAGGGAAATTGACGCGAATTTATGATCTGAGCAGCTCTGTATGGAGTATCATGGGGTCTGAAGGTATAGTAGTGGGTAGGCTACAACTGGCAATTAACTATCGATTGCCACATTTCATTTGGAAACAACTCATGAACTCAACGTAAAGCTGTATGCCGAGAAGTTAATGTGAATTCTCCCTGAATTTGGAGCTAGAAGGAACTATAAAGTTCTGAGGAACAAAACTGATAGTTCTAATATAAGAACATTACAGCTCGGACATGGGGCTAAATCATTAAAGTTATCCAATCAGAAGCTGGTATTCCAGTCCTAGATTAAAATTTCAAATCCTCCCATCTTGAAGTTAATATTAAAATTGAATAACAAAAGTGAGCTACTGATGGGAGCAGGGGTCTTTCATTTGATACAATTTAAATCTTTAATAGGGGGTAAATAGTATTGTGAATATAACAGCAACGGTAATGCTTGCCAGCATTGTGATATTGCTAGAATACAGATCAGAATATTCTTGAAAAACTCAAGAAAGTGGATTTAATTATACTTTAAAAATATACTTCCCTCCCTCCCTCCCTCCCTCCCTCCCTCCCTCCCTCCCTCCCTCCCTCCCTCCCTCCCTCCCTCCCTCCCTCCCTCCCTCCCTCCCTCCCTCCCTCCCTCCCTCCCTCCCTCCCTCCCTCCCTCCCTCCCTCCCTCCCTCCCTCCCTCCCTCCCTCCCTCCCTCCCTCCCTCCCTCCCTCCCTCCCTCCCTCCCTCCCTCCCTCCCTCCCTCCCTCCCTCCCTCCCTCCCTCCCTCCCTCCCTCCCTCCCTCCCTCCCTCCCTCCCTCCCTCCCTCCCACCCTCCTGAATAAATAATGACTAATTGATAATCATTAACCTAATCCCCCTGTGAGGGTATACACTAGCAAGGTTGGGGAAGTACCTCAATATTCCGTATTTTTTCTCGGATAATTGCAAGAGAACGCGTGCCGAGTGTTATTAAAACGAGTGGGCACGGTCAAACTTCCGGTTTTAAAACGTGTAATTTTACTGTAGGGCACTGGCTCTCGAGCTTAAAACTACTGTTGGTTTTTTATTATGTAAGTGAGGTAGTGTTTGTTAAAATTTATGTTGATAAATTGCTGCAATTGATAGTTTGTGTACAATTTCTCCAATCATTGGAATCATTTACTTTTCATATTCTTGGTCTGAACTCTGCAAAAATTTTAATCAATAATTTCTGGTTCACGAGGACGGAGGAAGCTGATATCAATATCAAATATCATCTTCTACAAATGTTTCTCCTCAAAAATTAAGTATAAATTGCATTCGCCCAACTATTTTGTTTTCGAAATTTTAATTAACAATTTCTGGTTCACGAAAAAGCTCATATCATTTTCTACAGATGTTTCTCCTGAAAAAATAAAGTATAAATTGCACTTGCCCAACTATTTTGGCCGCACGCCAGAAGGTAGACGCTCCTGGGAGCCCGATTATGGGGTATTCCTCGCGGGTCACGTGACGTCACACCACGTGACCTGTAGCGCTGTTCTACAGAAATAAGGTCTTCACTTATAAAGGCTCTGAAAATACAACCAGACGTTGATATATTCCGTCATTTAGCTGGACTGCCGCTCTCAGATTCGTTTTACAAGCGATTTGTGAGCTACTCAACCCTCAGTTCTAGCATGAGCTAAACAGCCGACTATCCTCCGACTCATTTCTCCTGTTCTTTATGAAATTGTGTTCCAAATAGTTGGAGAAAGTCTCGACGGTAACTGTGAAACATTGAATTGAGCAGAATAACTCGTTTGAGACACTTTTAATATCAGTTAGAACTTAGCTGTTAGGGGCCAAAAGTTTCATCAAAGGCTGATCGTTTCTAATCCTCGTCTGGATGTTCGCTTTTATTTCTTAAAAAGTTATTTAAAAGTGAGTGATCGTATAGTGATATGTTTCTCATGACTAGCTACTCGTCGTCTTATCTGAAGTCATGTTGTAGTCATGGTAACAGCAAACATACTCATAGTTATATGTCGACGAGCATGTCATCCATACATCCGATTAAATGTGCTTACTTTGATCTGAACCAGGGTTGTTTCATTTTGTCTTCCCGTTTGATATTTACTGGATCTGATAGTGATAGTTATTTTGTTATCTTAAAAACTATAACTGAAGTTTTTTAGAAATTTAATTCAATATGGAGGGCTAACGAAAATTAATTGAACAGTATTTGGTCTATTTTTATGCACGTATTTTGAATTTGATTCGCTGTAACGGAATGAAACTTGTAGTCAAAAAATAAACGTGAGCTACGATGGGAAGAAAGAAAAAGTTGCCAGAAGATTACGCTAAAGAGCATGAAGAGGAATTTGAGGTAAAGTAAAGACTTTTAGCTAAAGGTTTAGTGGAGAATTTAAGTTTTAAGTTTTGCGGACAATTTAATTGCTGTTCGTCAATCATCATCCTATGTCGTTACATGTCTTACAATGATTTTATTCAGGTGAAAGTTATATGGAAGGATCTAGTAGGGCTAGGAGATAGTTCCATCAAGGTGCCGGAATCAGCCCTGGTCTGTAAATACTGTGACACGTTTGTGAAGCCGAAGGGGAGCAGAATATCGGAACACCTCATATCCGCACGCCACAACGAGATGAAGAAAAGGGCTGCTGGAAAAGTGGGATCTAATCTCAGATTCCTGCCCAACCTACAGGTAGAGAATCTTTGATAGAACACGTTAGTGACGATGACTTGGATTTAAAAGTAGAAATGTCTAATCATATATTTTTAGTTTAGCCACATAACCCAAACCAACCAATCAGAAATCTGTTTTTTTTGTCATGTGATTGGAACTGACCAGTAACAATACCCCACAGTTGAAACTAGAGCAGCAGAGTGTTTGTGCTCAGGAGTTGGTACGAGCGCTAGCTATCGCTGGAGTTACCCAACCTAGCTCTGTTCCTGCAGTTCTCAGTCTGACGAAGGGACAGAAAGGGGGCCTTTATCAGGAGGTCTGGGACATGAAGAATGTTATGGAGACTTATCTTCCGGTAAACTAAAACTTAAAGCGTATCCGTACCCTTAAAATTAATCCTTTTGCATAAACTTCATCCATACCTTAACTCTATCCTCAACAATTATTATCTTTATCATGATTAAATATTGAAATGATAACTCAGTTTCGTTTTATGAGGTATTAAGTAGTTGCCTCAGGGTACCTCAGAGTAAAACAGTATTAGAATTAAGTTAACCCACAGTCATCCTACACAAGCTATCCTACATTAAGTTAACCCACAGTCATCCTACACAAGCTATCCTACATTAAGTTAACCTACAGGTAGTGTTCAGTAAATACCAGACCCAGGACCTCGCCACTATACTGAAAGGGAAACGTTTGAACCTCTACATTGACAACACCATTGAGATCAATAACATTCCTGGGGTGGCTCTCTATTCTAAGGTATGCGTCAAACATGTGACAGAATTACTGGTTGATAAATTAAATCCAATGTATTTTAAACAAATTCTAAACACAAGGAAAGTTTTTAATGCCGTGTTTTCAGTATTATGACACTGTAGTGGACGTGCACAAGGAAATATTACTAGATGTCAGTCCCCTCCCCGTCTGTGATAACAAAGTTTTGGCAGCCTACATATCATTTCTCTCCAGGTTAGACATACAAATATTACTCTTCGTCTGATTAGTGATTCATTCAGTAGAGGTCGTAACACTATATCAACTATCACGTAATTATAATTTTTGAAGCTTATTCAGTCCGAACTTTGATGCACTGATGCAATCTTACATCCTGAATATGAAGTATTGGAATATGTTGGTTAATTGACCTGATAAGTTTAGATTATTATTTACATTAAAAGTAATCATAATAAGTTAAGTAACCAAAGTAATAATAATAGTAACCAAAGTAACTGCAGAAGTTTGGTGTATCCTGGTGTCAAATCTCTACAGTCAGTGTAACCGCACTTGATGATATTGGCACAATGGCTGAAACGCTGAAAAGTATGAATCCTAATATTGTGGTCCTTCTAAGCTTAGCTAACCAGGTTATATCCTATTGTATTTACTAGTTGTATATTTCATGTTATATCATACAATGATATAAGTTATGATTAACTTATCGACTAATTAATTAGTTATAATTACATTTGAATCTCTCCCCTTTTTACTCTTACAGTGTGGGATGTATATCAGCCCGTAGAGGGCTAACTTGTATTTTTGAGTCTTTTTCGCTTTCTCAGTAAACGATGTGATATGATATCAATAATAATTAGAAATTGTGACCATTTATTGACCATATTCAGATCCCAGTAATTGAAAATGATCACTGACTTACTTGACTTAAGGCGGCTTCAGCGTCCGAGTATTGATGCGCTGTCTCCATAAAACTCTATCCGCCTTAAGTCCGCCCATTTCTCCAGTGTCGTTGAGACCCGTGTCAGCTCGTAGGCTATCAACATAGGTCATGGCTGGTCTCCCCCTACTCCGCACCCCATGAGTTGGTTCCCAGAGTAGCAAGCGGTTTGCGACTAGTTCTGGGTGCCGGTGGATATGGCCTGCTAGTCGCATCCTGCGCTCTTGGATCTTCATGGTTGCTCTCGGTAGGTTGCCATAGACTTCTTTGTTGGTTTTTCGCTGCTTCCAATCCACGTTAAGTGCCATCCTTAGCATTCTAGTGTAGCAGCCATCAATGCGTTTCTTCAATTGCTCTGTCAACGTCCACGTTTCAGAACCATAAAGAAGTATTGACTCCACAGTAGCAACAAATAGACGGATCTTTAGTCCTCTTCTAAGGTCAGACTTCCACATCTTTTTAAGCTTGTGGCAGGCTGCCACAGGCTTAGCTAAATGATCAAGGTCTTGACAAAACTCTCTCCACCTCAGATATCGAATGCATGCGTGGGGTCCTTGACATCAAGCCTTCCTAACGCTTACAATTTTGTATTCCTGCTAACTGAGCTGTTATCCAATCAGCCTACAGTAACCAGGTCAGTAACCAAGTCTGTAGTCAGGTCAGTAACCAGGTCAGTAACCAGGTCAGTAACCAGGTCAGTAACCAGGTCAGTAACCAGGTCAGTAACCAGGTTAGAAACCAGATCTGTAACCAAGTCAGTAACCAAGTCAGTAACCAGGTCAGTAACCAGGTCAGTTACCAGGTCAGTAACCAGGTTAGAAACCAGATCTGTAACCAAGTCAGTAACCAAGTCAGTAACCAGGTAAGTAACCAGGTCAGTAACCAGGTCAGTAACCAAGTCAGTAACCAAGTCTGTAACCAAGTTTCCAACTCCTGCAGGAAGTATCTACACATGTGGTCAGCTGGCGGAGAGAATCTGTCTAAAGCAATCCTTCCTCCTAAAGTAAAACCTAACGATATCTTATCCTGGGTTGCAGCCGCTGAGGTTGGTAAATGAACGGGCACAAAACAAACTCTTATTTTGCCTTGAAACCATGCATTTTACAAGCTGTTGACAATACCAGTCACCAGATGATCTAATGCTTGCTAACAAATAAGGAGGGCTCGTAGTTGGCAGCTCTTAAATTAAATTAGAACTCTCACAAAGCACTGCATGCTAACTGTATCACAACTAAGAAGTAGTATTATACTAACTATTTTCAGCTTCTTCTTACAATCTGGAAACACATTGAGTCATTCTGCAGACAGTTTAAAGACACTCCTGAGTTCCTCATTTTACGACCTACGCTAGACGACCTTCAACAAGTTCACTACGAATTGCAGTGAGTCTTACAGCAGCCTTTGTTAAAATTGCTAAATATTTCTTCGATATTCTTGTAAAGTCAGGATTTGAAGATTATGATGATCTAGTAAGATGATTTGCAGTTAATTTTGTTATTTCAGGAAATTGGTAAAGTTTCTGTCTCCAGTATGCGTGATTGTAAGAGCTCTTAAGCACGGCCTCGTTACTGACAAGGTAACACATTGCTTTCTTAAATATTATTATATTGAATAATATTTATATTAGTGGTATTATTTACTGCTATTATTAATATCAATTAATATTAATAATAGAAGTATCATTTCCTGCTTTAATTTCACTTTTACTTCTATTAATACAAGAACTACTGTTCCTTCAGCTCATAACAATAATACAATGAGCATCGAAATTCAATATTTCACCAGATAAACGAGATAATGACGCGGACTCTAATAGAAGTGAGCTGTGTGGACCCAAATATCCAGAACAATCTCCAGAACACCCTCCAGAACAACCTCCTAGCATCAGGTAAAGCAATTTCAATAAAACAGCAGAAGTAAGATTTTTTACATCACAAACAATTTGGCTCCGTAAAGTAAGGCGATAATTAAAAAACTTAAGCCCCCTTGTCCAATTAACCTAAGATAATTGCAGGTGAGGGGTTATCAAGTCCACCTAACAAGATCCCCACTTCCCCTCTCTCCTTCTCCTCCCTCCCCAACATCTCTCCTAGTTTCAAGAGCCCCTATAATATGACGGCTCCTGCAGGCTCCCTACAGCTCTCCACTCCGGGAGCTCTAATGATGAACAGTTCCCCCGGAACTAGCTGTCAGGGTAATGGGACCACATTCCCCGTTACCAGTCTGGTGAATAATTCCTCACCAAGTCTTACTAACCAGTCCTCATCCAGCTTTACCAACCAGTCCTCACCGAGTCTCACACCTGACACATCCCCACAACGGCAGGTCTTTTGTTCAGTCCCCACCACTAACCCTCTCTCCAGTACCAACTTCCCGAGACTCACTTCCTGCTACAGTCTACTTGGTACCAACATGCCGGACACTTCCTCCTCTCAGACCTCCAGCTTCAACCAGATGAGACAACCAATCAGGCCCCTGCCTGTCCTGCCCACCAGTTCTCATTCTCAGCTGGGTCTCAACAATAACCACACCTCACAGCGGCTGAGTCTCAACCTCTCTTCCCAGCCTCCTGCCTACTCAACCCTCCCTACCTTCCTCTCCTCCCAGTCTCTATCCTCTCTAAGCACCCACTCCTTCCTCTCCTCATCCTTCTCACGACCTGCTGTCCCGGACTCACCCCGCTCCACTCCCTCCATACTGACCTCGTCTAACTCTACCAGCACTCTCTCTGAAACATCTAGTTCCAGCGAGGAAACTAAAAAAGCAAGGTCGGATGAGGAAAGGCCTTGTTTAACCAGCCCGACTGACAGACCACGTGATCCTGATGTTACGGACCAGAGCAAACTAAAGTCAGAGAAATTAACAGAGTTCTGTAAGACGTTCAGAGGTCGTCTCACAGCTCTCATCGCTGGTTCTTTTCAAACCAACATCCTCGGCAGAAACAGCTTCTTCGACCGATTCAGCGCTTTCAAGTGAGTACACTACAAAAATTGAACAGTATTTCCATATTAACAGACATGTATGGAAGGTGGTGGAAGGTGGTGCCCCACTCCGTGTAAATCCCACCACTCACCAAACACCTAGTTGAGCTCATTTCCCGACAGTACCAAATAAGTTCGGCGCTTAGATTGTAACATGATATTCTACTGAAAGTTAATTGAAAATACCAATAAAATACCGCACATATTTGAATAAGTGAAAGTAACCCCATTCTTCCCAGTCCCACGACATCAGAGGACACCTTCTCCTCTCCTAAGACTATGGAGCATTTCGAGCCGATCCTGAGGATCTTCAGTCCGGGGGATTGGGTCCTGGAGAAGAGAGAAACTCTGAGTCAGGAATTAGAAGCTTATTTCAAGTTCATGTCAGTGGAGTTTTTTTTTCTAACTTATTTCAGATTGAAATTTATATTTGCCACTGTTATAGTGAAAATAGCATTAAGCTGTAGAACTATGAATTTTCAATGAATGATAGTATAAATACTGATAATTACTATGTTAACAATAACCGGAACCCTTTGCAGTTCGACCACTAAACTAAGTATAGACTCCGTCAGCTACTGGAAACTGCTCCGAACTGCGCTGCCTAATTTAGGGATCGCTGTTCTTAACTCTCTGGGTAAGTTTCTGTTTCTGTTTCTGTTTCAGTTTCTGTTCGCATAGGAGGTGTATTGGGGGCCAATGGCATAAAATGGAGACTTTTTCTATGGAGAAATTGGAAAAACCCCTGGCCTTGGGTAATTCTCCATTTTATGCCATTGGCCCCCCCCCTCTCCGGTGTATTACTATTTTTACCCGGATTCTTTCAGTTTTATTTTACCTCAAACTATACGTTAAAATTAATTTGATGTTCGAAGATTTCTGAATGTTCCCACATAATGTGTGGTTTGGTTTCCTTTTTAGGATTGGTTAGATCAATATTATATATACCATAATAGCTCAAAAGTAAGATTCACCGCCGTATAAAAATAGTTCCAGTTCCTGGCCGAGCGACGATCATCAATTGCAGGCGACTAAAAATCGACGTATGACCACTCAAATAGTGCTTTGAGTAGCTCGGTGTATATGAAGGTGACCACGGGCGTCGCCGTCATTTTACAGTACATTTACTTTTAGGAAACTGAAGAGGGCTCTTAACTGAGCGCGATATTGTAGAGAATAGTTCAAGTTGAGTGGAGTTGGGTAGTACTAGTATTGTTGGAACGGGACATTTACAGCAATTGTCTGATCTGACACCATACACAATACACATGTAATATTAATAGATCAGATTTCCTAATTTTTAAACATTTCAACAGGAATCTACACGGGATCCAGCACAATCCTTAGCAAACTGGCAATGCAGCAGGCAGTGGAGGACCCGAATGTCAACCTTTCTTTTGATAACCTTATCAGACTCTGTATCATGAACCACAACAGGGCTGTAGTCCCGATATGAAACAAAACACTTTCAACTTTGTATTGATTTCGTGTTTGCCGAATGACAGTTTACAATTTATAGTTGAAGTTCCAATCCTGATTTGAGAATTCGATAGTTAAAAAATCACATCCAGACTGGGACGGATTTATAATTTGGTAGGGAGTCCACACTATTGATAATCACTGACTTAGACTTATAGTTAGACACTTCTGCTAAGGATAAGATTGCTTTTTGAATTAACAGTGTTTGAGCGCAATCTGTTCTTATTTTTTGATATTTGTGATTTGGTAACGCTGACGATAATTACAAATTTTGAAGAATTGTTCTTGTTTGATACGCGATTAAATTATTAATATTTTTTTCATTGTTAAGCGCTTATTAAGGGAGCCGGGGGGTCTTCATCAAAATTATCTCGAAATCGACTTTATAGTTGTTTCCGACGCGATAGAGGGGAGTGATATCTATCAGCTGCTTTTAGTCCCATGGAAAAATATTGTTCCTAGCCGAAATTATCGCTGGCCAAAGGTCAGCGTTTATTATTATATGTGTAAATGTAATCGAGCGTGCTAAATCACTTTACAGTCGATCTTCGAGATTGTTCTAAAAGGGCCCCCGCCAGTTGAAACCAACTTCAATCGATGTATTTTCGGACGCTGATTCCAAATCACCCCCATGACATAGTATAGGGTTAAAATGCTCCCCTGACGAGATATTGGCGAAAAACTGTCTCGATCACGTGATATGACCGTATAAGGAAGTTAGTCTAATTTCTCGTTAGGGTTAGGATTTCAGCATAATATGCTTTTGTTAGGGATTGGGTTTGGGTTAGGGTTGGGATCAGATTAGAGAGTTAGGGTTTCGAATAGTCGTTCAGGGCCAGCTAGAGAATGGGTTAAAAAGGTCATGTGACAGTCGAATGTAGACTGTAGAGTGATTAATCATCATCCATGTGTAATTGCTTATATTATATGTGTAATTGTATTGCGCGAGCGATTTTCAATCGCACGTTCTGAGAAGCGAGTCTAAAAATCTATCTTCTCCTACATTTTTTGAGCAATCACCCTCAAACTTTCAGGATATGTTCTTAGGATCAGTTAGATTTAGAAGAGAACTCTAGAGCCAGAATTTTGAGATATGCCTTTAAAGATTTTTAATTTGATTTTGAAATTCTAAAAATCAAGGTCCAAGATTTCCGAAATGTAGGAGAAGATAGATTTTAAGACTCGCTTTTCAGAACGCGCGATTGAAAATCGCTCGCGCAATACAATTAGTATTACACATAAGCGCTGACCTTTGACCAGCGATAAGTTCGGCTACTGGCTAGGGACAATATTTTTCCATGAGACCGAAAGCAGCTGATAGATATCACTCCCCTCTATCAGAAACAACTATAAAGTCGATTTCGAGAGAATTTTGATGAAGACCTTCCCGGCCCCCTTAAGGGGGCAGGGGGGGGGGGGGGTCTTTATGAAATTTCTCTCGAAATTGATTTTACAACCCGGTTTATTATATCACAGCCCAATTTGACGGATGGTAAGTGCTAGGTAAGGGATATTGTACAAATCAAAATTGGCACCAGAGACACAATAAAACACTCATCTCAAATTCATGTTAATGAGAAAGTTAAATTTTAGAATAAATAAACTGTTAAACTTCTATGTAATGAAACGTTCAGAAACTATAACATCGGGATTTTCATTAGTCAAGCTAAACACTTCTCTAACTGCTGTGAGAAAAACTTTCTCTCTTCTTATGTTTTGAAGTACATTCACATTGAAACTTTAAAGTTCAAACAAAAAGTAATTTTAGTTTTACCAAAAAGTAATTTTACCACCAGATAAGTTATCAAACAAAAAAAACTTGTTCCAGCAAGTTCGTAAAACATGGCCAATATACACGAATGGACATGATTTTATGCATGCAAATCAACAAATCTTGCTCTAACAATTATTCAAGACGAGGGAGACTACATAATTTAACCATTAACGAGTGCGCGGCTCCCTCTAGCTGCGTATTACCACGTGACGCCGCGCGCTAGTCAAAGTACGGGGCCACACCAATATGTCCACAGTTAGAGGTCTGCCCTCTTATAAATATTCTGTTTCCTGCTGATTAATCCCCACCGGGGTTCATGTAGGCGATGTCGTCCCAAGGATGTCTGTACAAGCCCTGCTTCAATCTCTTCTGGTCGAGATAGTGGCCTGGAAAATCACACTCATTAAAGAGATAACAAACTCATTAAATAAATAAAGCATTCATTAAAGGGATTAGATAACCTATCATTTTCCATTTGTAAAATTACATTTTCGACACCATTTCAATACTGCCGTCTAGGCGACACAGAAAATACAAAAGAAAGATATTAATTAAACTAACCAATAAAACCAATACTCCTGCCTGCCACAAACAGAGCGTTAAGGCACCCTATATCTATAAGATCTCTAGCCTCCTCCACACTGAACGATCCACTCTGGTATAACAAATCCACAAAGAGAGTCGCAATACAGCCGTCCACATTCAGGATCAGATTGGGTTTCTTGGAGGTAGTGATTTTCTCTACCTGTCTCGCATAATCAAAGAGTGGAGTAGCGGGGAAGTTAGCTTTAGCAAAGTCCGCTAGAGAGCTGACGCGCATGTCAGGATTATTTAGGGACTTTACTCGGTGTCCAATACCCTGCAATTATTATATGTATAATTAAAATATATGAACGATCGTATGACAGGCTTGAGTACTCAGTCATTAAAATATGATAATAGGGACTACTGATTAGTGAGCAACACAGTCCAGTGATAGTGATTTAAAGTGAAAGTGATCTCAGTGAAAGTGATATAAAGTGAAAGCGAAACAGCTCTAATTGGTAGTACATTACTGACCTGGATGTACTTGTGAGAGCATTTCATCTCATTAACAAACTCCAGAGGTGTTTCACCCTTGTCGTATGCGTTAGAGAACTGTCGGGCTGACTCATCCAGAGCTCCTCCAAATCTGTGGAATTGTGGGCTTGTTTATTGTTTGTTATTTATCTAAATAGTAAATACCCTGTTGTATCTTTATTAGTCTGTTTATAAGTCAGCGTGTATGTCTGTAAGTATGTCTGTATGTCTGTATGTCTGTATGTCTGTATGTCTGTATGTCTGTATGTCTGTATGTCTGTATGTCTGTATGTCTGTATGTCTGTATGTCTGTATGTCTGTATGTCTGTATGTCTGTATGTCTGTATGTCTGTATGTCTGTATGTAAGTATGTCTGTATGCAGTGATCGACCGGGATCCCGGCCCCGGATACGGCCGGAATTTGTGTTTTTCCCCGGCCCCGGCAAAACAATTTTCAAAATCCCGGCCCCGGCCAGAGGCCCCCAATCCCGGCCCCCGCCCCGGCTTTTTGTCAATTTTTGCCGGGATTTTGCCGGGATTTCTCGTATTTTCTGCCTCAATTTAAACCGATAGATTATCAGAATTTATCTTGATTTTTAGACTTAAATTAAACACAAAATTTTCGGTAACATGAGATCGAGTGAAAAATATAAATACGAGGACTTGACATCATTCCAGTTTGATATTCAGAAAATTTCAACTTTGAATTTACAAAGAATGTAAAATATTAATGTTGATTAAAAAAGTTCGAGGTTGATTAAAAAGTTCGAGTAAAGTCATGTGTTCGTGTACCGTTTTCTTTCATATAACTAGTACAAACGTCAAACAATTTAGTTCAGGAGCAAAAAACAGTAGAGAGTGAGGCCGACTCAATGCAGATGATGATGATAGTCATCAGATCACAGATGACTACTCGTTTCCGGTGTCAGCTTCAGTGTCCGAAATATCTATGTCCGGCTACAAGAAAGCCTTTCTGAGTTACATTTAACTATTAAAGAGAAATAATGTGTAGCTGCCTTCTAGGTTGACCTTGAAGCTAGCTCACATTGATACGAGTTTCCGGAAACTTTCAAAAATTTTCAAAATTAGATTAAAAAATCCCGGCCCCGGCCCCGGCATATTTTAGCCAATCCCGGCCCCGGCCTTGGCAACATTTCAAAATCCCGGTTAATCCCGGCCCCGGCTGATTCAACTTGGTCCCGGCCCCGGCCCCGGCTAAATTTCGTCCCCGGTCGATCCCTGTCTGTATGTCTGTATGTCTGTATGTCTGTATGTCTGTATGTCTGTATGTCTGTATGTCATGTATGTCTGTATGTCTGTATGTCTGTATGTCTGTATGTCTGTATGTCTGTATGTCTGTATGTCTGTATGTCAGTATGTCAGTATGTAAGTATGTAAGTATGTAAGTATGTAATTATGTAAGTATGTAAGTATGTAAGTATGTAAGTATATCTATATGTCTGTATGTCTGTATGTCTGTATGTCTGTATGTCTGTATGTCTGTATGTCTGTATGTCTGTATGTCTGTATGTCTGTATGCCTGTATGTCTGTATGTCTGTATGTCTGTATGTCTGTATGTCTGTATGTCTGTATGTCTGTATGTATGTATGTATATATGTCTGTATGTATATATGTCTGTATGTCTGAATGTCTGTATGTCTGTATGTCTGTATGTCTGTATGTCTGTATGTCTGTATGTCTGTATGTCTGTATGTCTGTATGTCTGTATGTCTGTATGTCTGTATGTCTGTATGTCTGTATGTCTGTATGTCTGTATGTCAGTATGTCAGTATGTAAGTATGTAAGTATGTAAGTATGTAATTATGTAAGTATGTAAGTATGTAAGTATGTAAGTATATCTATATGTCTGTATGTCTGTATGTCTGTATGTCTGTATGTCTGTATGTCTGTATGTCTGTATGTCTGTATGTCTGTATGCCTGTATGTCTGTATGTCTGTATGTCTGTATGTCTGTATGTCTGTATGTCTGTATGTCTGTATGTCTGTATGTATATATGTCTGTATGTATATATGTCTGTATGTCTGTATGTCTGTATGTCTGTATGTCTGTATGTCTGTATGTCTGTATGTCTGTATGTCTGTATGTCTGTATGTCTGTATGTCTGTATGTAAGTATGTAAGTATGCAAGTATGTAAGTATGCAAGTATGTAAGTATGTAAGTATGTAAGTATGTATGTAAGTACTAAGTATGTATGTAAGTATGCAAGTATGTAAGTATGAATGTTTGTCTGTATGTCTGTATGTCTGTATGTCAGTATGTCAGTATGTAAGTATGTAAGTATGTGATTATGTAAGTATGTAAGTATGTAAGTATGTAAGTATATCTATATGTCTGTATGTCTGTATGTCTGTATGTCTGTATGTCTGTATGTCTGTATGTCTGTATGTCTGTATGTCTGTATGTCTGTATGTCTGTATGTCTGTATGTCTGTATGTCTGTATGTCTGTATGTCTGTATGTAAGTATGCAAGTATGTAAGTATGCAAGTATGCAAGTATGTAAGTATGTAAGTATGTAAGTATGTAAGTATGTATGTAAGTATGTAAGTATGTATGTAAGTATGTATGTAAGTATGTAAGTATGAATGTATGTATGTAAGTATGTAAGTATGTATGTATGTATGTATGTATGTATGTATGTAAGTATGTAAGTATGTATGTAAGTATGTATGTAAGTATGTATGTAAGTATGTATGTATGTAAGTATGTAAGTATGAATGTTTGTCTGTGTGTCTGTGTGTACTGACCTGTCACCAATAGTGAGAAGACCACTAGTAAGAGAAGACACCAGATCTTTACCAGCTCTAGCAGTGACAATAGTGTTGTGAGCCCCAGACACAGCAGGTCCGTGGTCAGCTGTAACTATCAAACACAGTTCTATAAATTTGTAGGCGAAATCAGGCATTCTGCGTTGGAACCACAGCAGAGAGATTACACCTGGACAGAGAAGAACAGTTATAGTTTGTATCTAGAGCAGTATCACAACTTTAAATCGTGTAGTTTCTAAATGAAACAATCTCGCGCTCCTCTAACCAACAAGAAACTTCTTATTAGTCGGTTACAAGTCAGATAAATAAACCTGCCACAACTTAGTGAAAGTGAAACAGAAAGTGAAAGTGAACCTACCTCCTATTCCCAAGTTCTCCTTGATAACATCACTCATAGGGACCCCGGCATATAATAACTCTTCTCCTCTCTCGTCACAAATACCAGAGATAAAGGAGGTCTGTTTGCGAACCAAACCTGGTCATTAGGACTTTTATCAACTAATTAGGAACTCGTAATCGATAAATTAGCTTAAATAATTGAATATGTGTTTGTACGTTTAATTTGGAGGAACAAAAAGCACAGGTGGAATTTCCAGCTCGAATCATCACTTATTATAGTGAAAGTGAAAGTAAAAGTGAAAGTGAAACTAATTACCGAGTTCCTGAGCCCACTTGAAGTCTATGGGAACCTGAGGGGGTGGCATCTCCGGCTCTGGAACTATCTCCCCTGTCTCCACTAGCTCCTCGTAAACTTTCCTGAGAGACAAGGTAATTAAAGGTAATTAGTTGTAATTAGTAATTATTAGAATGGGAAACCTTTCATACGAAAAACTGATTTAAGGAATGAACCAACAAGTTAGCGACTTCCTGTAAATGTACCTGATTGTTTTGCCAAGATCGTCGAAACTGTCAGGCACATGGGCACCGACTTGGCGTAAAGCCAAGTTTTTAGCACTAGCAGTCTCCAACTTGCTGTTGGCGTTCGATCCAGCGTGTCCAAACTGTACTTCAGTACTGAAGTAGTCAGCACATGTTCCAATACACCATGCTACGACCTGTGAAAAGTGACGTCACTAACGTGTGATGACGTCATAAACAATAATCAGCTATGTTGTCGTGTTAGCTAATAGAATTACTATTCTTTAGATTTAGGTTGCGTAATGCGGAAGTGGATAAAATGTCTGAATTTGGAGCTATAAGGAACTACAAAGTTCTGAGGAACAAAACTGATAGTTCTAATATAAGAACATTACAGCTCGGACATGGGGCTAAATCATTAAAGTTATCCAATCAGAAGCTGGTATTCCAGTCCTAGATTAAAATTTCAAATCCTCCCATCTTGACGTTAATATTAAAATTGAGTAACAAAACTGAGCTACTGATGGGAGCAGGGGTCTTTCATTTAATACAATTTAAATCTTTAATAATAGCCCCGGCCCTACCCTCCCGGACGTTAAACTTACTGATTTTCTTATATCTCCAGATTTGATAGCGGAGACTATGTCGTACTCTTCAACTCCTCCCACTTCTCCCAATACTATTATCATCTTAACGTCGGGATTAGCGTTGTATCTCTTAATGTGATCCATAAAACTGGAACCAGGGTAACGGTCACCTGGTAACGGTGTGAGTAACGGTGTGCGTAACCTGGTAACGGTGTGAATAACCTGGTAACGGTGTGAGTAACCTGGTAACGGTGTGAGTAACCTGGTAACGGTGTGAGTAACCTGGTAACGGTGTGAGTAACAGTGTGAGTAACCTGGTAACGGTGTGAGTAACCTGGTAACGGTGTGAGTAACTTAGTAACGGTGTGAGTAACCTGGTAACGGTGTGAGTAACGGTGTGAGTAACGGTGTGAGTAACGGTGTGAGTAACCTAGTAACGGTGTGAGTAACCTGGTAACGGTGTGAGTAACGGTGTGAGTAACCTGGTAACGGTGTGAGTAACCTAGTAACGGTGTGGGTAACGGTGTGAGTAACCTGGTAACGGTCTGAGTAACCTGGTAACGGTCTGAGTAATAATCAATAACCAGGGTAACGGTCACCTGGTAACGGTCACCTAGTAACGGTGTTAGTTACTGGTAACAGTCACCTGGTAACGGTGTTAGTTACTGGTAACGGTCACCTGGTAACAGTGTTAGTTACTGGTAACGGTCACCTGGTAACCGTGTTAGTTACTGGTAACGATCACCTGGTAACAGTGTGAGTCACAGAAATAATTAAAATCATGATTATATAAAATAAGAAAGTAACTATAATTGACGATGATAATCACAATAGAACAGTAATTATAACTGTAATTATATTAAATAATTTAAATTACCCCCGATAGCGACTCCCTCGTATACTCCGTTAGTGTTGATACTGACTATGTTGTTTAGCTCGTTACTCATTCCTCCTGATCTGGACACATACGCTACTGAGCCTGGTCTGTATAACTTGCTCTTCAGAATGTTATCCAGCATTCCACCTGGTAATTAATAAATTAGTCACTTAATTGGTTATAGCAATAATTCATTATTAGTTCAGTTGAATATTAATTAAATATTAATCTAGCAGTTGCTTCATCAGAATCTCAATTTTAGTAGGACAGTATTTCTTATTATATATATTGCTAGAATACAGATCAGAATATTCTTGAAAAACTCAAGAAAGTGGATTTAATCATACTTTAAAAACACAAGGAAATGTTTTATACCGGTGTTTCCTATTTTGAAGCAGCCAGGTTTCACTCCTCCTACAGTTGCTGGTCCTACGATACTAACTCCCTTCTCAACAGCAAGTTTATTGATCTTCTTCGTCATATTCTCAGGAATGCCCTCGGCTATTATAGCTATCAATTTGATCTGTTTCGAGTGACTGAGGGAAATGAAATATGTAGATTTGAATTTCAAAACAATCCATTTTAACGGTTTGAAATCCATTTATATGAAACACAAATTTTGACACAATTCATATTTTAATATCGATAAAATTCTACCTGAGCATGCTCATAGTAGAAGAATAGGCAGATCTGAGGGAAGCGAAGCTGATGAGAACACTGACATCAGGGTGTTTCTTCAACGCGTCAGCCATGTTCTTATAAACGGGCACGTTAATCTCCTTGTGTCCAAAGTAAAGACGGATGTTGTGGTTAGCAGAGAACGGGTTGATTATTCCTGCGAAAAGATGTTTAGTGAAATGTTTCGTGAAATGTTTAGTGAAAGTGAAAGTTTAATTGAAGATAAAGGCGAATGTTGTGGCCGAGTATTATGGGTTGCTTTTTGTTTGGGAAGAGAACTGTCAGCAAAGTGAAAGTGAAAGTGAAAGTGAAAGTGAAAGTGAAAGTGAAACCTGCAACTGAAGGTTTATCCCTCCTACACGAGCAGTCAAAGTCCAGCATGCCCTGCACTGCTTTTATCTGTAGACCGTACACTAGGCAGGTTGTGTCCTTGTCATACAGGTTGTACTGGTCGGGAGAGTAGTGCTCCTTACCTGCCAGGGTAATTAATTAGTAATTAGAGTAGTGCTCCTTACCTGCCAGGGTAATTAATTAGTAATTATATGAGATAATGTAATTACAAGAAGCTCCTTACCTGCCAGGGTAATTAATTAGTAATTATATGAGATAATGTAATTACAAGAAGCTCCTTACCTGCCAGGGTAATTAATTAGTAATTATATGAGATAATGTAATTACAAGAAGCTCCTTACCTGCCAGGGTAATTAATTAGTAATTAGAGTAGTGCTCCTTACCTGCCAGGGTAATTAATTAGTAATTATATGAGATAATGTAATTACAAGAAGCTCCTTACCTGCCAGGGTAATTAATTAGTAATTATATGAGATAATGTAATTACAAGAAGCTATTACGTGCCAATAAATGAAGAATATCACCATGTTTTCGCTTATTTTCAAACTCCATAGTGCCCTCACTCCCTAAAAAAAAGAAGAAAGTTAAAATGAAATTCACCTGCACCCAGTATCCTCTTGTCCAGATCGTTTCTAGCTCTCTTCTCTGCTGGCTCAGTACTGCTAGGAGGTTGGGGTGTTCGTCTGTCTATATCATGCTTACCAAACAGGAAGTTGTCTTTCAGGCTACTTTCAGTGTCAGTGCGGTTCGGAACTGGGAAATGGGAATTATCAGATAATTGATGAACTGTTTTTTTCCTTGAAAGTGAAAGTGAGAGTAAAACTGAAAATGAAAGTGAAAGTGAAACATGTCTCACCTGGAGTTTTCCCCAAAGCCATGCCCACAATAGCAGTCATGTGTATCTCAGGTCCGAACACGTGCATTGGTACCCCCAGCATATCACCACAATTCTTCATCACTTTTAACCCTTCTTGATAGTTGGGCCCTCCTCGTCTTACGTATATACTTACCTTGGATAGAGTTATTTAATTGTATAGTCATATTTTAATTAATTGCACTGGTAGAGTTATTTCAATCTATACTAAACATGCTAAAGTACTAACATCAAAATAGGTTATAATCTGAATCAATTTTACTATCCGATGTCCACTCCATTTCAATATCAAACACTAACCTGGTTGTTGATGAGTTGTTGTTTGAAGTCAGTGAGTGCTCTGACAATTCCCTTGAAGGTGCTCGCAACGTTCGTGAAGTTTGCAATCCCTCCTCCTATGATCAGACACTTGCCCTGGCCCTGCTCGTCCGGTTTCCTGACAAACAGAATACAGTCAGGTGACTAGAGTACAGCTATTTGATCGGTCAGTAGCTCTAGGGTTTTTCAAAACGGTTTGAAAAGAAATAGTTCTATCACAGTGTATAAAATTAACTACGAATCTACAGTTATTCAAAGTTTCAGAAATAACATAAATTAACTACGAAAGTGAAACTAACCTTGTCATGAGACGCAGTATGATAAAGTGAAAGTGAAACTAACCTAGTCATGAGACCCAGTATGGTTTTAGCATACTCGTATGTCTGTGACTCAGAAGGAGCTCCACTGTACTCCCCATAATTAGCTATCTCATCAGCTCCTCCCAGATCACACACTGTGTCACTAAATACAACAGAAGCTCCTCCTCCTGCAACCATCAACCAGATCCTTCCATCAGGGTTCAAGATAGTCAGCTTCAGAGACGCTCCACTCTTCTCATCTAGATCCTGGGAGAACAAATTTAAGGGTATGCTTGCCACTGGGAGTAGGAAACACGTTAACTAAGTGAAAGTGAAAGTGAAAGCATCAAAGTAGAATCTATCCTTACCTTGATGAACTCCTCTTCTGGCCAGCTCTTTCTCCCGAAAGGAGCAGGAAACTCGCTTACTTTCCACTTGTCACTACACAGGTAGTCGGCTGTGTCGTCTAACTTAGCTGCCATGTCCAGTGCGTAGATAGTGTTGTTAGTAACAACTGGAGATGGTGTTAGGTTGAGCCAAGTGGTGTTAAAGTGAATCGAGGGGTGTTTAAAGGGGTGCCGGGTGTTTATATGAGGCGTTAATTTAAGGGAACATTATAACACCAGACCATTAATGTCTTGGAACAAGTGGGGTAAAGTTCGTACACTATACCCACTATAAACCAAACTCTTACCAAGAGGGTTAATCTCCAGGTAGGTGAAGAAGAGATCAGAGTAAACTTTGAAGAGAGAAGATATGAAGTCAGCTACGAGCTGTTTGCGGTTCTCAGGAACTCCGCGTAACAGAGCTGTGGTTATCTCCTCGTGGGTCGGGTAGCTCCCTGAAACACATCCGGATAATCATCAATTGCAACTGGGGGAGTTGGGGGAGGGGCTATTTTCATCACAACTGCAGGGATATCCAGGGAACTAAATGATATCTCAGATAACCTCTACATTATCTCCTCCTACATATACTTCTCCTACATGTAGGTGTATCTACTCATCCTACCTATAAGGATGTCAAGTTTGTGAGCCTTGCTGTCCACATCTCCAACGTCAACGCCTCCCTGCTCGTAGAAGTAAACAGTATCTCCTTCTTTAGTACTGTAGATACACACGTAGTACTCATCTTCTGGTAGGTGAGGGACAAAAGGCTCGATTATAAACGTGTTCAGTTCTCCGGTACACTGCTCTATCTGATGGTAATTAGTAAATTAGTTAGTTAATTAGTTAATTAGTTAGTAAATTAGTTACTTAATAAGCAAATTAATAAGTTACTTACCATTGTGGAAGGTTTGACAGTAAAGTTCTGTTAGCAACAAAGCTAAAGCTTTGTTTTACAGAACTAAATTCTGCGATAGTGTACATAATGTATATTGTAGATTCCTAACAAACCAGGAACTAGGAACGTGTCGTATAAATCCATTCCAAAATTCCAAAATTCAATAATTTTTGGAAAATTTCGCGATATATTATCATGGTTTGTTTTAAAAGGCACGTTAGCACTGTCATTTTATTTTCAGTTCTTTATTAATTCAGGGATAAACACCTAATCCAGGGGTAAATGCAGTCAAAGAGTGCTCTAGACGCACCTTGCTACACGCCCCTTCTTTTTTCAGGAAAGAAAAACAACAATTTAACGAACTATCAGTCACCGTACCAAGCTGTAGAAAATTAACAACGTTTATCTTTTATTAATTAAGTTAACAACTTTCATCTTTTATCAAAATTAACCGCTATTACAAAGTTATATTACGAGATCACCTCATATATTAAGGTATCACTTATTAGTATAACTCAACCAATTAATCGCTAATTAACTAATAGAGTAATAGTAATTAATCACGACTGGTAGTACCTGGATTTCTTTTCCCATTTTTTCTGATATCCAGGCGATAGCATCATCTAACCCCACATTAACCTTTATCAGACCCAACTTTCCTCGCCGCTTAATCAGCTGATCCGGTTTAACAACCAGCTTCTGAAATTAGAGCAGATTAAATTAACATTAATTATACTTACTTAATTATATCATCTTTTAGGTACATCTTGTGGAATGCAATCCCCTACCATCTGAATGTCATTCAAGATCTGGAGCACTTCAAAGATAAGCTCACTAAGTTCATGTTGTCTCTCCCTGATAAGCCACCGATCAGAGGATATACTCCTCCAAATACGAACTTTCTGCTGTGCTGGCGCAACGAGTGAGACTTCGCCATGGGGTGGTCAGAAGATGTGATGGTCCCGTGAAGTCTTGACGAAACTCAACATAGGTCACATACGTAGGTCACATTACTGAAACTTACACAAAGAAAGTACACCAAACCATACAATAAAATAAATTACAAACGTCACATATAATGTTACAAAGGTTTTACTTTTACCTACTAGATCATACCAGTTTTATTAACTTTACTAACACTTACTAAAGTATAGTACTTTCAAAACATTAACAAAACTAATTTACAGTGTAGTATACAAACATATAACTGTAATTTAAATCGAATAATCAAAAACTTCTTACCTGTTCAAGTAACCATGGGTGTTGAGTAGCTAGCTGGTTAAAATCAGTATCTTTAGTTACAGTGCACACTTTGTTACATGATTTAGCAGTGGAGAGGTGGCGGGCCAGAATACTCTTACCATCAGCCTCTCTTAGGGCTCGGGGCGCCATATCACCTAACAGTGGTTATAAGTTCATTTTTGGGGAGTTATTATTAGTGTTATTATTAGTGATAATTGCAGGGATGATTAGTCGTGATTGATATTTTCCCAATTTCGAGAAATATGAAGCTTATGATAGTTTTTATTATTTCAATGCATAATTTGAAGGACTCTGTTTACTGTTAAGTTGAATGAGATAGGTATTAATGTTGATGCAACTCATGAACCTAATGAAAATTCCCCGAAGGCTTTACCTAAACGACCAATACACAAACAATTAAAGATGGAGAATCGTGAGTCATGACCCATCGGATAACAAGCTCGGTTAAATAAGAGGGACAAAAGTTAAGTAGTAAACTTTGAAAATTATAGCAGATACTGAGGCAGCTCTATATAATAAGAGTGATAGATGAACTCTCGTGTCTCAACATTACCCTTTGTTTTTCCCCTCCGAATTTGCCGCACATAAAATAATTTTAGGCACGTCTGGAATCGTACTATTTGCAAAATTTTACCGCACCTATGTCCTATATGTTGCCTCTGTGGCTGTTTGACACAGAGTATACAATATGTTAAAATGATCGTTTGTTAAAGGCTGCTTATCCCAATTTACAGTTCCATATAAGCACATAACACGGAAATCTATTTTTACTGTGCCCTTCACAATTTCACATACGAATATATTGCGGTCAAAGATTGCGGTTTCGAAATATATATGGAGTCCAGGTGCATTACATGTGCCAACGAGCTCTTGATTTAAGGTCACATCCGTTGATTAGGCCCTCGACTCAAATCATGGATCAATTAATGAAAGGAAATTCGCCTGGTACTCAATTGACGATTAACCAATTTCTAAAGGAACAAAGGACGCAGCACACCATCAACCACAATGAAACGAGATTGCTAAATGACCAAACTCTCCCTCTAAAACTGAGCAAATCACCTAGAAGATAACATTAAATTGAATTTCATTACAAGTTCCTACCCAACATTGCTGCCTTATGAATGGTAACTGTACAGTGCGTATTTTCATTGTACTGCACCAAGCACTAGATAACACCCAGTGAAGGTGGAAATTTACAACAAATGTAACCAACTATAAATACACGTCAGTAAAGTAACGACACTTAAACGTTAACACTAAGTAAAGTAAAGTAACGGACTGTAAAGTAGCAGACCATGAAAACAGTGGTATCAGTAATACTACTACACTACTACAGTAGTAGTATTACTACTACACTACTATAGTAGTAGTAATACTACTACACTACTATAGTAGTAGTAATACTACTACACTAATACAGTAGTAGTATTACTACTACATTATAGTACTACAGTAAAGTAGGGAGGAGAAACCGCGTCCCGCGCTATACAAAAGAAGAACCAGTGTGAGAGACTACAACCGCTCAATAGTACAACTACACAGTGTTATTATACTAATACAGGCTATACCTTCCCTCATGATACGGTGGTAATTTCAAACAATGACCTCATTCATATCGAGCTTCATACATAGTGTACATACCACAGACATTCCGGAAAATCGGGAAATTTGAATTGATCAAAGTAACAACAGTTACAGGTCACACCAAGTGGCATTGACTGTGAATCTTATATTAGAGTTGTAACTATTCTCCTCTAAATCTGGTAAGACACCCGGAAGATACATGATACAATGCTAAACAAGTTTATAAAATCACAATAAAATAAAAAGGGTCCAGAAATAAATGTAATATAATATATATCACAGGTAAGTCATGCAGGTACTGCAGACCGGTAGTGGCACTTCTGAGTCTGACCAGGTGCAGTGACTAGTACAGTAACAGTGCAGTAACGTGCAGTAAATATACAATCAGTACAGTAACAGTACAGTAACACTGCCAACAAGGTGGCGGTAGTAACCTTGTGGCGGTAGTGACAGTACCGGGTGGCGGTAGTAACAGTACCGGGTGGCGGTAGTAACCTTGTGGCGGTAGTGACAGTACCGGGTGGCGGTAGTAACCTTGTGGCGGTAGTAACAGTACCGAGTGGCGGTAGTAACCTTGTGGCGGTAGTGACAGTACCGGGTGGCGGTAGTAACCTTGTGGCGGTAGTAACAGTACCGAGTGGCGGTAGTAACCTTGTGGCGGTAGTAACAGTACCGAGTGGCGGTAGTAACAGTACCGAGTGGCGGTAGTAACAGTACCGGGTGGCGGTAGTAACAGTACCGAGTGGCGGTAGTAACCTTGTGGCGGTAGTAACAGTACCGGGTGGCGGTAGTAACCTTGTGGCGGTAGTAACAGTACCGAGTGGCGGTAGTAACCTTGTAGCGGTAGTGACAGTACCGGGTGGCGGTAGTAACCTTGTGGCGGTAGTAACAGTACCGAGTGGCGGTAGTAACCTTGTGGCGGTAGTAACAGTACCGAGTGGCGGTAGTAACAGTACCGAGTGGCGGTAGTAACAGTACCGGGTGGCGGTAGTAACAGTACCTTGTGGCGGTAGTAACCTTGTGGCGGTAGTAACAGTACCGGGTGGCGGTAGTAACCTTGTGGCGGTAGTAACAGTACCGGGTGGCGGTAGTAACAGTACCGGGTGGCGGTAGTAACAATACCGGGTGGCGGTAGTAACAGTACCGGGTGGCGGTAGTAACAGTACCGAGCCTCAGCACTCCACAGTCACCAGAGAATCATTGGCCCTGTTATTGGGATGTAACATGAGAGTATGCATAGGTACACTAGTGAGGTCAAACTTGTTATGAGCTGTGAATATGGAGGAGGGAGAGAGGAAGAGGGGGAGGAGGAGGGCAAAAAACATGAAGTGGGAACTAACCTATTAACCTGAACGCCTACAGTCACCTGTTCTTGATACAGGAACAGGTAATTATCGAATAATTCGATAAGATTTGATGAGTTGGTGGGGCTTATCGTATGTATAAATTAAATCAAGTTATCAAACCTAGTACTGCTACCGAGAGTTATACTTAGCTTACTGAAGTTAGTTTTAAAGGTAACATGGCCTGACAAACCCCTGACCATCACGCAACAATCTACAAATTATAGGGACGAGTCAAATTTAAAAATTTACGAGTTATCGGAAACGAGTGACACTCCAAGTATTTCTGAAGAATTCGAAGAGAAACAACAAGTACCAAGTCAACAAAAATAAGAACTCCATAAATTTCCTCTAAGCAAAATCTCAAAATATCACATGACGCCCACATGACAATAATCAACCAATGAGGAGTGAGCACCACTAATATTACGAACATGAGGCAGTGGGAGGAGGAGTACACTGTGTTAACATGGTGACCTACACTGGGGCTCTAGGAAAACACTGTTTGCTTAGTGGGGACCACGCTGTACCTCAGGTAGTACAGTTACTGTCAGGGGTAGTTATACGTATTTACGGAGGGTAGTTAGAGGTACAGTATCTCTTCTCTGACTGAATGTTGACTCTGACTGAATGTTGACTCTGACTGAATGTTGACTCGGACTGAATGTTGACTCGGACTGAATGTTGACTCGGACTGAATGTTGACTAGGACTGAATGTTGACTCGGACTGAATGTTGACTCGGACTGATTTCATACAGGAAGGGGTAGTAGTTAACTTATAAGGACGTTACTTCCAGTGTCCCAAGAAAGCTCTTTAGTGCAAATAAGGCAAACAAAATTCAGCTGTTTTAGTTTTTAGAAAATCTTTAACATTCATCAAAGCAAAGTTCATCAGAGCAAAATGTCACAAATCTGTGTCGTTCAAGTGATATTCTGAAACACGAAACTGTATTTCATGGCACGTAAAGGAACAAGAACTGTATTCGTCTTTAAGGCTTCCATTAGATACTTCTAGATATGGTAAGTTCATTACCGAAATTAGGAGGAGTGGCAAATTTCGTACAAAATCAAGTCTACCGCCGGCAAAGAAAGGTCCAACACTGTAATGATATAGTTGTACAATGAGTGATGAGGCATGGGAAATAAACCAGTTCACAGTTGTCAAACAGTAAGTTGCCAAATGTGACAACAATACCACCACTTGCCACATCAGCATTTCTAAGAATCCCATAATTATTAATAACTCCGCGGCAGAAGGGAAGTAATACTTCTGATCAGGAACAGAGGTATGAGTAATACTAAGTTGAGTGTTGATATATCGTAGCAAGAAACATATTCTAGCCCTGAAGGCATTGCTCACATAAAACTTTAGCAAGCTCACAGTGGGGAGGTTTGGAAAGCTGATGAGAGGGGGGGGGGGGGGGGGGGGTTGGTAGGAGGGGGCCAGGGAGTTGTTAAGGCTTTGCTGACGTCATGGAAATCCAGATTTTGGTTAAAACCTTTGGGATTCAAAACTGGAATAGACCTATTTGATTCTCTGATAACCAAGCAATCTATTCGTGGTTGACAGTGTAACGTGATATGGACGATCCTTGATGCTGTCGTGAGCATATAACTGGTAAAACATTAACAAAAGTATTTAATTAAGCAATACTACGAACTGGAGAGGGTACAAAGGAAGCAAGCTCCTTTTTAAAAAACAAATAGCAACATTTACTGGATAAAACTACGCTGACCTGATACGAGAAACGGGCAATCCTGGAAATGTTCTTAGAGAAAATTCACGCAAAATCGACTAAATAAGTTGTAAGACATAGGCCATAGCTGCAGGACAAACGAATAAGATGAAGTGCAAAGAGACTAAAAGGTGTTCAGCAGAGTCTTTTCAGCATGACTGTGACTGCAGAAGATATAAGACCGGCGTGATAGGGCGAATCACATCTCATTCCACAAAAGAGTAGCACGCGTGCGCGGCTCACACAACCCGCCAGCTCTGAACAAAATCAAAGTCTAATGGTACCTGGTGGAGTTGGTGCTAGGGTGCTTTAGGGTTGTTCCTTGCATTAACAATTCATAATTCTACTTTTTCAGCACAAAATACAATCAGGCATGCTACTGTCATTTTCTTAAATCATTCATTCAAGTGCTGTTCGTGAAATCCCAAATGTGCGCGCGATCAAAATGTGTACGTTCGCGCAGAGAAACCAATTTTCATGTCTGCCGCGCGTTACAGCGTTAGTACCCTACGTATACGAAAATAACCAGCGCTCTGCTGACCAATGAAAAGGGTTTAATTCTGACCACCTTCAATTCTACGCGAACAGTTCACTTTGCGACAAAAAGCTTAAAACTACTTGAACTTACCCCGCAGTGATTACCAATGACAGTTGGATGATGTGGTATGTGATTTTAGCTAAAGAATCAGACCAGATAAATCATAAAATGCAATCAAATTACAAAACCATTCGTAACAAAGATCAATAACTCATTAAAGTCCGTATATCAAAATCTATCTGCTGCTTAGATGATAAGACTGCTAAACCAAATTATGGATCAGTAAGAGTAATACCATTCATTTATTCTCTTTAATCAGTATCAATCCGAAAACTAAACTTAGGCGAAACTAAACTTGGAAAATAGTTACTCAGAAAACCTCTTTGAAGCTTGAAATGTTATACAGAATAATTCCACCCATATAAACTAGCAGTCTTAAGGTTAATACAATAAATCTTATAAAGAGGAGTACCACACAGAACGTTTTATGCAATTTTTGCGGCAAAAGTTTCATAAGAGATCGAAGTAACAACGAAGCCATTCATAATAATATGATCATAGCATTTTCGCTGCAAACGTTAAACAGTGGCTTTTTTCTAACTCTTTTTTAAATCGCCGCCTGCCAAAGCACATGGTGCCCGTCATAATCTCTGTGTTAAAGAAGTTTGTTTTTGCGACAATTTTAAGCTCGGCAAGTGCTAACATCCAGTCACCACCACTTGGGCAACACAGCTTTTGGCAGTTTGCCAGTGACTTAACGTTACAATGTAAAGTGCCTTGATTAACCTAAAATTAAGTGGCTTCTTATTCCTGCTCCTTTTGGCACCCTCCTAAAACGGCAGAGGAAGCAAGACCGTTTGTTATATGCAATCAATTTATTTATGTCGACTGTGCCATTTACACCGATCTCTTATATTGTCATATTGATAACTTTACTAATTTTTCTATGCATTCAGGAAGTGAAAACACGCGAACAATTAAAAGAAGTAAATACCTACTTCGTCTCATCACAATTAATATAATGAAACAGAACACAAGGAAATATTTTCAAATCATCAAAAAAAAACCTGTCAGAGCTCTCTGTTATCAAGTAGACACAGCATAGGACAGGACTGAACAACACATCCAGGGTACACTGAACTAGTTGCCAGGGGGTTTCCCAGCAGACAGAGCGCGCGTAATCTGCACTTTGTGCACGACAGTATCCCGCACGCGTTGTGTATCAGGTTGTGCGACGCGTCCAGCTCCGTCAAGTTCTTACATTCCTCCAGCCCTTGTAACGAGTGTAACTTGTTGTGCGACAGGTTAACTTTCTCCACCGCTACTAGAGATGAGAACCCTGTAAGACTGGTGAGATTGTTGTGCGAGAGATCCAGCTCGCGCAGCGCGAACATATACTCACTGTGCCCCAGCTTTGTGATGTACTTCTTAGACAGGTTTAGAGGATCACGTGATGTGATGTCACGTGACATGTTGGCCCACCAGGCTGTGACTGCTGTCTCGCACAGCAGCTTGGTCCACAAGTCTCTGTAGTAACCAGTCCTCATGGTGTCCACGTGACACAGCTTCACGGTCAAGTTCCTTATCTCTGTTATCTGAGGTGTGATAAAAATTACATCTGAGGTGTGACAAACATTACATACTTGACATTAAATAACTTTAAATTAAACAATTATTGCTACAAATTGACTAAGCAGATAATTTAGAGATACCCATTCTCCGTATGAAACCTCTTTGATATTTTAATTCCCTTTTGGGTCACTTTAGGAAGCCCTTTGCGGTACTTTAACATTACCGCTACTTTATTTATAGGCGATTATATCCTAGTTGGATATGCACGGAGGCTCGAACCCCAACCTTCTGCACACCAACCAGTGTTCTAACCACTACACCACAACCGACACTACACCTAAAAACAATCACCTGCTCTTTACTCTTATGAGGGTTACAAGTGTTGACCATGTCCAGGTAGGTCAGTATAACCCACTTGTTGTCCGGTTCCAGTTCGTATAATTCCCGGATGTTGCCCAGTTGCTCCTGCACTATGTCTTGTGGTGCTGTGTAGTTTATACGGGGTGAGATTCCTCCTGGTACTACTCCTGAGATATTTTTGGATTTTGGTTAATTGGTTAGAGATGACAGGTTGATTAGTTAGTTAATTGATTAATTGGTATTTTCGTGTGGTGCAGTTTACACGTGGGGAGATTGAATACGTTACTGAGGGAAAGTTTAACTAAATAACACCAGAATTGAAGTGATTTAGAGTGAACACTATTGTGTAGTTAAATCCCCACTCCCCAGCAATTTACCTAGCGTATCCCCACTACACAATGTAACAGTAGCTCCACCGAGACTCACTGTTACGTTATCAGAAAGGTGTGTTGCATCACACCACCACAGTTTGGCTGGGAAACTGTGACAGTTCCACGTGACATTGCCCTTATCAGTGCTCTTATCAGTGCTATTATCAGTGTTATTATCACTGTTTTCCTGTATCTGTGTGAAGGAATGTGTTAGCTATGAAAGGGGTTCCAGGCAAAAGGATTCCTAACGTTTCTACAGAACATTCATGAGGTAAAAAGTGCCTTAACTTCTTCAAGTGTATTAATTAATAGTCATTTTAACCATGTAGCATTATATCTATTAAAAACCTGAATGTTGGTAGGTGCAGTGTAGGTGAGGTTGTTAAGGAGGAGGTTAATTGTGCTGTTAGTTGTGTCCCTGTATACAGCAAGTAACTTATCCTCTTGTGTCTCTCTGCCTAGTAACCACTGATAATACAGCCACACGCTCTGGTCAGACGGGTCTGAAGGGGGTGTTACAGTGGTTACTGTGGTTACTTTGATTACTTTGGTTACTGTGGTTACTTTGGTTACTGTGGTTACTTTGGTTACTGTGGTTACTTTGGTTACTGAGCTGTGATAACTGCGATTACTTTGAACTATGATTACAATCGTTATACTAGTTACCTTGTAAAGATCGTTGTAATAAGTTACCTAGTTTAAAATGATAATATTCATGATATAAAACATCTATGAAAGAAACTTGTGTGGTAAATAGTAAGAGTAACCAGTAAAGTAAGCGTTCTGAGCCCACTCCAATTCTTCTCTGACCACGCCCATATCCTGTGTGTCCAATAGTGTGGTCCTGTAATGCCACGCAGAGTAGTTTGAGAAGTTTCTTTCTATCAGGGACGTGGACATTTCCAATTCGCTCTCTATCTTTATACCTCCTAGTTTCACGATAAACCTGGCAATAAAAGAATAAAGCTAAAGGTTATTGCTGCTTTCGCTTTCGTAATTCAATATTAGCCTGATAACTTTCTATATAGCACACCAGTGGCGTACCGAAGGGCCCTGCTCCGACGCCAAATCGTCGTACTTGAATGTGGGACAATTTTGAAAAACTTAACTTAACTACTGGCAAAACTGCGCGTTTTGCTCTAGAAAAACACTTTTTGAAAGATTTTACGACGTATCTTCTAAAATCACCTAATTTGTCCAATTTTACGTTTCTACTTTAAAGTTTAAGAGGGGGGGGGGGGGGGGGGGGGAGGGACGCCAACAGGGGGGCGGTTTTTCAGCGGGGGGCACCAACATGCAACTTTACACCACAGTAACACACCAGTCCTATATTGTTAATAGTAAGTTGTAAAAAGAAACATACATTTAATAATCAATATCTGCTGTTTTACCTTCTGTAGTCCCAACAGTGAAAATTCCTGGCGTCATATTTAAGAAAGAGATTACACAAGTTTAACTCCTCCTTTATTACACATTCTGAAAATAAACACAATATAGAGCGTTTTTCGTGTGATGGCAAGCAGAATGCTGGCTATTTATTGAAGCTCAAAGTAAATCTCACTATCATTCCACCCCTCACAAACCCCTTCTAAACCCATATCTACTTGGTTTACATTCCCTCAACCCTCTCTCTTCCTCAACCCCTCACCTCTCCCTCAACCCTCTCTTCTCTCCCTCAATCCCCACACGTGACACCCGATCTACCTGAGGTATTCTGTTCAACGAGCCATCTGCGATGAGACCAGAGAGAGTAAGCTTTAGGATTAACGTCCAGACATCTCGCTACAAACAACTTCTCAGATAGTATCATAGCAGCTTTATTAGGCGCCTCACGTTCACACGTCTTATCACTTTCACTTTCTTTTTCAAGTGTTTCACTTTCTTTAACAACAGTTTCACTTTCTTTCTCCTGCTTCTCATCACTACAACTACTGAATATGTCCAACAGCACTACTCTCCGCCAGTTCCACAGTGTGCTAAACTCAGGTATATTCTCCAGGACTTTGGTTATGATGTTCAGTAACTCTACAGACCTGTCCCCACTGTTGTACATTCCCTTTATCTTGTTCATACATTTCAGATAAACTTGCTTCTTCTTCTCGCGTATCTTGTTCTTCTCTGCTTCCTTTTCAGCTGTTGTCTTCACTTTCAAACGGCCATGCATTTTAGTTTATCTACCTGGCGATTAATTTGGTTATTTTTTGAAAGTTTTTAATCACGAAATCATACGTTTACCCATCCTTATAAATGAATGATAACAAAATTATGGTTTCCCCTTTTTTAATATAATCTGGTCATTTTATGTTAAGCAATTATTTACTAACTAATTTTGTGGTTTTAAAATACTTCTTGAAAACAACAACACAAGAATCTCTGTGTTCTAAAAGTTGGATACATAAATTACATAAATTAAATCAATTACATTTGAAATATGACTATCTACTTAAAGTTGCCATGGCTTTGTCAGATATGATAATAGATGACTGATACCAAAGAAAATTTCAACAACTCTATGAATAATATATTATAATAATTGACTTAAGATAGAGTGGAATAATATAAAACGATATCAGTCTGGCACATACTCTGCAATCTGTATTATATCGATGATTAATATTCATAATTCTTAGAAAAGATATCATCATTGATTGATATAATAAGGAGTTTTAGGAACAGCCGACAACTGATCACTTGACTCTTCAACCCAAGAGCTCTGCAAAAACTTAATTTTAGAGTTTACAAGTAAAGCTTGTTTAAAATCTGATAACCAACAGTCTGATTTAGTGATAATGAACATGACCTCCGGAGACATATGATCATGAACCTTCCCACCATACGCCACCAGATATCTGTGTAACTGTCTTAAGTCTTCAGCGTCCTGGAAACTATCTGAATGTATGAAGAATCTGTGTCCAGCAAAAAAGTCCGGGAGAGGTGGAAGACCCAGACGTTTAATAACACTAGTTTCTGTCTCCTCATCAGTATCAGCTTCATAGACTGGGACATCACCAGACTCAGACTCACTGTCACTTATATCAGGGAGAAGTGGTTTAGAGTCGGGGTTCACTTCCTCGTCTGAGCTTATCTCTAGTGGTTGATTTCTGACGGGCTTCTTCGAATGCTTTTCTGATCTATCTACAATTTCTTCTACTTCTTCTTCTTCTTCTACCTCTGCTTCGTCTTCCTCATCAGAAGAGGAGACTATCTGACTATGAGTAGGGGCGAATTCCTCGTCAGATCCATCATTCGTCTTCCTCTTTTTACTTGGTGCGGTCTCTTCATCACTATCGCTACTTTCTGCATATTGAATCTTCTTAGAAAGTTTCCGTTTTAAAGGACTATTTTTGGGTTGTATGCTCACTTTTGAATCATCGTCTTCGTCATCTGATGTTTCATCCTCACTCGAGGATTTAGAAGATTTATCTAGTCTGTACCTGCCCTCAGACACTCTCTTCTTCTCCTTTTTACAATCAAATAGCCACTCCTTCTTCACAATGATCCCCTTTCCTTTAACCTGGTTGAATTTAGGAGTGTTTGGAATAGCACAAATAAGATGAGTTGCTTGGGGACACCAGTCAGGCCGGTACTGACCTCCCATGGATATTCCTAACTCCCTAATGTCAGATCTTAGAGGGTTTTGGAACCCGCTAAGAACAAACACAACGTCACTCAACAGCTGGGAGATATCACGTTTTGGAGTGGCAGATGTTGAAACTTTGGTTTTCGGAGGAGGAGTTTTAACTCTAGTTTTGTTGCTACTAGAGGGCTTATCATCATCATCATCATCGTCATCTCTGATGTCAACGACAGATCCGGAAACTCTTTTAAATCCCTGGTCTCCCGACTCCTTCAACCTATCCAAAGCTTCTTTTGAGGTAGAAGCCTTGTTTTGCTGTAGTTTTGAAAGTAAATTAGACGCTGCCTTTCCCTGTTTGTTGCCTCCACTTTCTAATACTCTCTGTTTCTTCACAACAGGTGATTTTGCAGCGATGCTAGAAACAGATGGTCTACTAACAGGATCCATTACTTTTAGTGGGGCGGCAGCTACCTTAGACAAGGGTTTGTTAATACCCTGCACAGTCACAACAGATAAACCATAGCCTGTGTTTTTATTGTAAGGTTGAGTACACACGATCTTAATGCGATCCCACTTTTTATCAGCAGTCTGTTTACAGAGCTCTTCTTTTCCAAACATCCTGATTTTAAACCTGTTTGTTTGGGCTCGAGACTCTGAAGGCGTCATGAAGGAGGACATGACTATCAGATTCTCAAACTCGGTATCATTGGCACCGTTGGCCACCAGAACTTCTACAAAAGCTGAACCGTTGTTCCCGATATCAATACCAGTTATCTGTTGTTCAGACTCTAGCTGGAGTATGACTGATGCCTTTGCAAGACCAGGTTTTTCTGTAGCCCACTTTTTGAAGCTGTCAGAATATAACAGGTTCTTAGCACAAGCCACTTTGTCTTCTGTACTGCAGGATACCACACTTGTGATCTTTATAGGTGCCATCCTAGGGAGGAATGTTATAATTTAATCAGGTTGTAGTTTCTAAAAACTCTTTACTGTATAGAGTATTTTATTAGATAATAACAAGGTAATGTTATCATCGGTTTAATTTCAAATCACAGAATAACTGAATAATATCTATAACCCACTTATAACTTTATAATATCTGTTATATTAGAATAACTGTCTTAAATTCATCATTTTACAACAAAAATTTAAAGCGTTATATGCATTAATACGAAGCCGACAACTTTGACATAACTCTCTTGTACAAACAATTTCATAATAATCTACATGTGCGATGTACATTGTGCAATCAAATTAATATTAATTGAATTGACATAATTTTTATAAAAACGGCTCAGTAACGATAAAATTGATCTCAAAATTCCTTTAAATATTTTCCTGTTTTCATTGAAGTTCTAATCACTGCATTATGATTATTCCAAAAATCAAATAACTAGTACAAAAAACTTATTATATAATATATTATTACGATTATAAGTCATACGTATAAAATCGAATGTGAATTTTAAACCACTTTATCGACAATGTCATAAATATGGTCCCTTGCATTGAGCACATCCTCTTTAGGCCCGATTAGAATAACTTTAGTATCATCTCCCTCGCGAATATTGTATTTAATATCGACTTGCACATGGTAATCTCTTTCTATTTGTCTGAGTCTTGCTTTCCTTTTGCCAGCAATGCGACCTAAAGATGAAGTTTCAACCCAGATATCCATTGAGCCTCGTTCCACTACTAACTCATTCACAATCTCTTGCACCAAATTTTCAGCTTCCTTGCAGTTACTCTCCTTTCCAGAGATGGAACACATTCTGGGATTGTTCAACCTTATTAATGTGTTAGTTTCCTGTTGGATCTCAGCTATCTTGCATTGCAATTGAATATCATTTCTTTGACAATTTGGTAGGTTAATCTCCATCTGGAAGTCGCTAATTGATAGTTCATTTGAAAATGAACCAGCAGCAAAAGTATCAGAACATGGACCAGCAGCGATAGGGTCAGAATGAGCAGGAGCAGATTGGAGATTAGAGTAAGAAGCAGCAGAAGGTCCAGAATAGGAACCGACCGGAAATCCGGCTGAATCCGGATCCGGCCGGATATCCGGCTTAAAAATCCGGCTCCGGCTCCGGCTCCGGCTGGAAAAAATTTGCCGGATTTTTGCCGGATTTCAGTTTTTTTTACCGAAAAAAAATTTCAAAAAATGTAAAGATTTCTGCCAATAATAAACAGGGTAGCCTGAATCGTGGAAAAAAGTGGTTTTCAGAAAAACTTAGAAAAAATTTTGACTTAGAAAATTTCGGTCCGAGTCGTTCTCGAGACGTACCTCCTGTATCGGGAGCTCCCGCTTCCGAGCTCATGTTGCTAAGGGGAGGCCTGCCTTCCGAGATCACATTACCGGGGGGAAACCTCGAGTCCAGAATTGTGTATCGAGGGGTTGGTGCGGACTTCGAAAAACCGAAAAAATATTTTCGGCTAATAATGAACAGGGTACGTAGCCTGAATCGTGGAAAAAAGTGGTTTTCAGAAAAACTTAGACAAAATTTTGATTTAGAAAATTTTCGGTCCGAGTCGTTCTTGAGACGTACCTCCTGTATCGAGAGCTCCCGCTTCCGAGCTCATGTTGCTAAGGGGAGGCCTGCCTTCCGAGATCACATTACCGGGGGGAAACCTCGAGTCCAGAATTGTGTATCGAGGGGTAGGTGCGGACTTCGAAAAACCGAAAAAATATTTTCGGCTAATAATGAACAGGGTAGCCTGAATCGTGAATAAAAGTGGTTTTCAGAAAAACTTAGAAAAAATTTTGACTTAGAAAATTTCGGTCCGAGTCGTTCTTGAGACGTACCTCCTGTATCGAGAGCTCCCGCTTCCGAGCTCATGTTGCTAAGGGGAGGCCTGCCTTCCGAGATCACATTACCGGGGGGAAACCTCGAGTCCAGAATTGTGTATCGAGGGGTAGGTGCGGACTTCGAAAAACCGAAAAAATATTTTCGGCTAATAATGAACAGGGTAGCCTGAATCGTGAATAAAAGTGGTTTTCAGAAAAACTTAGAAAAAATTTTGACTTAGAAAATTTTCGGTCCGAGTCGTTCTTGAGACGTACCTCCTGTATCGAGAGCTCCCGCTTCCGAGCTCATGTTGCTAAGGGGAGGCCTGCCTTCCGAGATCGAATTACCGGGGGAAACCTCGAGTCCAGAATTATGTATCGAGGGGCAGGTGCGGACTAAGAAAAAACCGAAAAAATGTTTTCGGCCACCTCCCTGGGCTAGCCCCCGGCTATAATCGCAACCTTGGCAGTATTAAATTAGAGGAAAACTGAACCTTATTACGAACAGTAGCTCTAGTATTTATCTTAATCACGTATTATTATTAATATTATGATCCAGTTTTGTGCAGACAGCAAACTCCTGTCTTGCATGCGAATCAGGGTACAGTTGTGCTTCTGATTGTGACGAGATATGAAGGTCACGTGTTCAGGGTAGTTACGTAATTAGCTCATTACTGCAATCACGTGACTCAGCTCTAGACGCCAGACGGTGATTAGTACTGTACTAGACAGTGTCTGCTTGCGAACAACCCTATTAAGCACCGCTCGTTGTAAATCACGTGACAAAATGATACTCAGACCTGCATGACGAAAAGGGAATTCGCACAAACGGGTAACACGACTCCTGTCCGAAAGCGACATCTGTCCGAAAGCGACATCTGTCCGAATCAGGGTACCAGAAAAAAACGACATCTGTCCGAAATTGTGACCTGATTTCAATACGACACATTTCCAATTAGAGACATGATCTAAACTGTTACTTGCTAAATTGTATACGTAACATGTCCAATTTGAGATATGATCTGAGCCATAGTTTACTACCACAGTTTATTTTAATTTGATGTCGATAAATTGGACAATAGTTTCAATGTTATTTAAATGTTATAAATTAATTCAATATAATACAATATCACAGAATCAAATCTAAAGCATAGTCAAATTTCCGATAGCTTTAAGGAAATCCATAGGGTTGCTGTAGTTGTCGTAATCATCTACAATTCTCTGAAGTTGTCGATCATAACGGATCCATTTGGGTGCACGTGGCTCAGGTAGTTCCCGCCCGTCTCTTTTGGGTTTCTTCACGTCTGTAAGGGCTTGTTCTGCTTTAAGGCAATCAAGGAACTTCCAAATTGTGGGCTTCGAGCAGGACAGCATTGAATGGAATCCGTGATGCCGGTGTCGTTACTTCGCTTGTCGAAGACGTATCTGAAGCCATTTAGGATAGGGTTCTCCGAGCCTTGTTTGCGTCCAGGGATAAACTGAAGATTGGTTGCCATTGTGGATTGCGATAAGTGATCTCCATACTGCTGTCCTATATGTACTCATGTCCTGTGATGTGATCGACAGCTTGTTAGGGTAGCACGATCCTGTTCTCAACTAGTCAATCACGTATCGATGGATCAGATCTTAAGGGATCACATCAGCTTTAGAACGTCACGAGATTACCTGTGAGCTTGTGAAATGCGAATGTGAACCGAAATTACAATATGATCCGAAATTCGGACAGATGTCGCCAAAAACGACTCCTGTCCGACAGCGACATCTGTCCGAAATCCCTAATTCAGCTTTCGGACAGATGTCGCTTTCGGACAGGAGTCGCCCAATCGCACAAACGCGCTCAATCAAGGGTTTGGCATATGCCAATTAGATATCATTTCTGATAATTACTCGTCTAGTGTCGTGACTCGTGTCTACTCTTGTTACATTTTGTCTGCTACGTACTGCTTGTTTAAACAATGTCTAGTAGTAAATCTAAAACATCGTCCGTCTGGTTGATCTACTCAGAAGAAAATGGGACCACTTATGCAAGCTGCAAGCAGTGCTCGATGAAGATTAAGCGTGGAAATACTATTACAATTGTGAAATTATCATACTATTAAGAAATGAACTTGCTGCATGCCTATCATAATTATGACTTTTATTTGGTTGAAAATTGAACTTAGCTAAAAATTAATCGAAAATATAGGTCGGGCGCGAAAACTGTTAGTTAGACACTATTTTATTGTGTAATTCCACATGATAATGACAAAAGTATAAAAATAAGAATATAAATTTAAATTTTCCGGCAAGATCCGGCAAAATCCGGCAAGATCCGGCTGCCTTATATTTCACTCTGAAACCACCGGTTCCGGTCCGGCAAAATCCGGCTTGCCGGATTTGAGATTGAAATCCGGCAAGATCCGGTCCGGCAGCCAAAACCCCAATCCGGTCGGTTCCTAGTCCAGAACTAAGAGCATCGTGAACAGCTCAGTAACAATTTGCACTGGCTTCTTCATTACTTTTCTGATAAGTTGAAATACCCACTTGAGATCTTCTGGTGACGAACAAACTTGCTCAAGTACATCAAAAAGTTCTTCTGCTATAATAGGAGTATTCTGTTGACAAAGACACAGATCTCGATTATCAAGAAGATATTTGCAGTTATCAGACACATTCCTATCTTCTTTAGACAGACTATCTTCAAGATACTGTGTTACTGGTTTAACTACATACTGTACATTAGTAGCTCCAGCCAGTTCCAACATCAAGTCCAACTGCTGGTGAGAGAGAGAATGCAGGTTTTCTTTAATATACCTGGAGATAAAATCCTCATCTCCATTCGCTGACCTGATCTCATCAAATGCGATCTTGATTATCTCCCGAGACTTCAGCTTCGCGAGACGCGATGGCGAATGCAGCTTCGTCAAACAGAAAAACTAAATCCTGATAAGTTGGTTCTTCAATTGCCTTAGCAATACCGGTGAAAAGCTCTGAACATCTGGTCACTAACCACGTGACGTTAAACACGTGACTCATCTTGTTAATGTCTCTGAACATGTCTCTAGAGATCAGAGGAGTTTCTCCTGAGTAGGCAGCGTCTAGAAAATATTTCACAGCTTCTTCGCTGAACTCCTCCATATCCAAACTGGTCAGATGAAGAGTTGTGGTCATGTGATCTATCACGGGACTGTTAAAGGACAGAATCACCGAACTGGCACAAACGGTTGCCCCGTTTTTGGTTTTTAGTGCTAGGGTACTGTGGGTCGGAGAGTTCAGCAAGTGTCTTCCAAAGTTCATTGGTACTGAAATATTGGGGGCCATTGTGTAGGATACTTTACCTGAGAAATAATTGATAATTAGTTATATTAATAGTTACAGACTACGGGGTTATCAGAATAACTAATATCAACAATATTATTATCTACATATCATTATTTCTGCGATATTAAAAGGTTCATTCTCTATTAAAAATTTTTACGGAATACTAGATACGTTTTTAAATACACACTTACAGTGACTACAGAAATGTAATAAAACAAATAGCATTTCGAATATTATTAAAATTTATAAAACGATCTATAAGTAAAAGTTAAGCATAAGGTCAATAAATAATCGTAAAATTAAATGTTATGAAACAAATTGCATTTCGAATATTATAAATATTTATAAAACGATCTTTAAGTATAAGTTAAGCATAAGGTCAATAAATAATCGTAAAATTAAATGTTATAAAACAAATTGCATTTCGAATATTATTAAAAGTTATAAAACGATCTATAAGTTAAGAATAAGGTCAATAAATAATAAGCCGTCGTGTTCTGCATTGAAGGCACTTATAAGATTAAAAAATTGATAAATTCACGAACAGTTTGGATAAGAACCACTACCGTAACTAACCACCACAAACTTTTGGTATCACCGGTTTACTTTGAAATTACTAATTAATGATAATATCTCGAAATCATGTAATCTATCTATTATTAGAATAACTGTAGCTGTCTATGAAAAAATTATTCGGTATTATAAAATTCATGTTAATCGTCATGTGCAATCAAATTGGTATTAATGAAATTGCCATTAATATTATTAAAATAAATGATGTCTTCAGCAAAGATAATTACATTGATGTTCCGATAGACGGACTTAAAAACCTGTCTATATCATACCACTCACAGTGGGCCACCATGCTATAATAGAGGAAAAATTGAGTTCTTTTAAAAGTAATTAAGTAAGTTTTGTATTGCA